CGCAAATATGCCCGACTGTGAGGGCGGGCACAAGCCGGCGTGAGTAGGTTAAACGTTGAGTTTTATAAGGGCACCACGGGGTGACCAGCCCCTCCCCACCCAGCCCCACCCCTCCCACCCCCCACCCAACCCCACCCTCCCCACCCAGCCCCTTTTCACCCTCCCCACCCAGCCCCTCCCCACCCTTCCCACCCAGCCCAATTGATGGTGGTCATTTGGCAACTAATTAATATGTCAAAAAGAAATTTCAGAAACATTGCAAGCTTTTAATATCACCTACATACATGTGTGGCACGTAAAAAAAAAACATGACAATTTAAACGAATGCATTGTACATTGTATTAAATCCGAAGGGGACGTTTGATGATGGTGATTTAGAAGCGCGTGCGTGAGCTTGTTTGGAAAGCCCCGTACACTTGCAGGGTTAAATTGTCCCGGGAGGGCTGATTGACAGTTTGATGTCAAACACACGTGCTCACACTTGCTCATACAAATGTCAGCAAAACTGGGAATTGATTACCGCTCAAGCCGGGGTCCCCTTTCACGCGAAGAGGGCACAGCAAGGCTTGTCTTAACACGCGTGGTCACTTACAGTGCGTATTCTTCGTTGTTGATTGTTATGGTTGTGTTGCTTGCTTTGTTTTGCACTGAGTTACTATTACGGCCGTATTCTCCAAGATAATGAGACGCTCCTGAATGTAAGATGCACCACAAAACATAGGGGTTATTTATAGTAATAGAAACAACACGCGTTCTAATCGGCAGCATATGGCACTTATAGAGAGTAATCTTCCGGAAGATGATTCTGAACGACTATAAATTAAAACACGACTAAACCAAAAGACAATGCTTTCTCTGGATCGCGAGGCACCACCAACTTTTGCTTTAAAATGAAAATTCCGTCGTATTTACCAGGGCATGCGGTGGTACACCAAATGTGGACTCCGACTGTTCCATAGGAGACTGTTGTCCCCCTCACACACGTGGCGTTTTCTCCACGTGCTCTGGTTTTCTCCCACATGTAAACACTCATTAAATGGCCGACAACGCCTCCATATATAGAGGACTGCAGAGCTTGGGTCGTGTGTGATGGGGATTTTGCTCCGGCTCACTGCCTGGCTGCCTTTCCCACTCGTCTCTGGTCCCTCCTCGTGCCTCTGAGTCGCGGTCTCTCTCTCTCTTTAGTCACTTTAAGTTAGACTGATGGCCTTAATCTAAGTTATCTTGTGGTTGTTGTTGTTGTTTAACTTGCATCCCACTGGGATTTTTGCACACAGTGTTGGTGTACTGTGCTTTTTCTGCAATATTTTGCTGTCTTTTCTTGGATTTTCTGTTTGCACATAGTCACTATAAGATGTATTCTTGTTCATGTTTTTGTTTTTTGTTTGTTGCGGTTGCACCCGATTCAAGAGCCGAATGGCTCACAGGGCTATACCTAATAAATGAACTTGAACTTGAACTCTTTGAGAGCGAGCGAATATTGTGTGGCACGTGACAAGTTGAAATCACTATTGTTGTTGTATTCTAAAATTCAGGTGAAGGGGGACTTTTAATATAGAAATAGGCTATGCAAACCATAAAGCAGTGTTCTTTACTCATTTTCCGAGGCGGGGCCACTTTGGCCGATAAGACATCATCAGTGTGAGACCATTGGGGGTTCGACAGCAGCAAGATGATGGTGATGGGGGAGGGGGTGTCACCATTTGTGGTTTGTGTCAGGGGGCCGCACTAAAGGCCACCAAAGGCCGCCAGTCACACGCGGGCCTTGCAAGGAAAAACACCGCCATACACATTCTAGAGTTGAAGCTTTCGTGACTGCAATGATTCATGCTCTTAGTTCTTTCGGTAAAGTCACGTAGGTAAAAAAAATGAAATTAAAATTAATACAAATAAAACAATAAAATCACGACGTTTCGGAGGCAACACAAGTCTCCGTCATCAGGTGGGACCGTCACAGCCAGATTCACTTGATGCAGCAAATCTGGCTGTGACGGTCCCACCTGATGACGGAGACTTGTGTTGCCTCCGAAACGTCGTGATTTTATTGTTTTATTTTTATTAATTTTAATTTCATTTTTTACCTACGTGACTTTACCGAAAGAACCAAGAGTATACCGCCATACACAGCCCAGTGGTAACAATAGTAGCGAATAGCTACTAACACAGATAGTGCCAAGTACGTGATGGCTACATACTAATGGGGTGGACCAGTGATGCGCTATGCTATGAGCCAAACCTCCTGACTCCGATTCCCAGCCAACTCTAATATCAGCGGCGGGTTGTATCGGAACTGATCATGATGCCTCCCTTCACTAATCCACCTTGTCCAGCGTGGTTAATTATGGTCAAACAACCTCCATCCAGCAGAGGATTGACAAAGGACTTTGAACATTGCTACTATATTCACATGGTAATATTCCTTAGCAGGCAATTATTATTTGGTGGGGAAATCTTACCGTCTTCTGCCCCTTGGGCTCTCTCGTGAATTCAAAATCGTATATCCCATTCCGGAAAAACCATGGTGAAATGATGTTTGAGTGGTATCAGTGCCACTCGTACAAACGTTGATTTCAGGTGGCACTTGATGTGCTCTCTCAAACTGGGAATGGCACCACGTCGTCACGGAGACCGGTGTGCAGTGTATGACGCTATTTTAAATGCCATGTGTCGAGGCTGCAACAGATGGTAGCTATTGTATTCGCTGGACAATAAACGTTGGCATGATATAGCGTGTGCCCATTGAGTGCTGTCAATCATTGCAAATAGATTTATTTAAAATGTGCACTTTTAAATGCCAAAAAATGGTTATAGCCTTATTTTCATTACATTTGTATTTCAAATTAATGCATAATTAGTTTAGTGTGTCTGTATAGTATGATGAATTATCCGTGCAATCTGTAATTATGTAAATAGCCGTAAAAATGTTCTCTTTTAAAGGGGAAAAAACGAATTGTTGCAATGGCCTAGTGGTATCACGTTCGCCACTTGTTGCAGAGGTTCACGGTTCAAAGGTACTGGCCACCCTGGTTAATACCGCTGGTGTATAAAGATCCCACGGCGTATTTGTCAAGAGCAGGCCATTGTGTGCCGGAGGAGACACGGTCCAAATCTGCTAAATTTGAAAAATGACACCGCAATTTATGCATAGCAACTATCCCCCCTCTACTGGCAGACCGCAGTTGTTGGCATCGGTTTCTGGATTACTTCCAGCTGAGCTGCGGTTTCTTGGACTAATACGCCAGATGGACTGAACGGCCTCCTCTCCTTAGTAAACTTTCCGATCATCTGATTCTTTACTACAAAGGGCACCGTGTTAAAGTTTGTGTTTTTGAGTTTGACATTTGGTTCTGTACGTGCCCTCATGTCTGTATTGCCCTGCATTTCCAGGCCTACCCATCATAATGGGCGGGCAGCTATTCTAAAGAAACGTAACCTCAATTTAGACACAATAAGAGCGAATATTAAACGGTAACATTAATATTTTAAGGTATGTTGTACGTACACCATGTAAGTGCAGTCACGAATATTAGAAATCTATGAAACCTATTCCTTTGCAATGTTTTGCTTTATCATCGATGTTTCATCTACTGAGGCTGATCAATGATACAAAAAATGAACTAAGCCACCGAAATCCTCCGGCTTGATGTAGTGGACATTGAAAAGGGACATAATAATTGATTCTGTGTACGATGGTTCCGTCCCCTTTACAGCAAAAACAATTTGGAGAGGCATCAAAGATTTGCGAACGCCAATGGATTAATGAATGAATGCACATAATTTCAAGGCGCAACACGGGATTTGTGGAAGACCAGCTGCCGTATTCTCACCACCCTGTGCGCTAAGAGCCCATCGCCCAGGCTCCGCCACAACTTGGAGAAGGCTTTGTGTGTACGTACGTGTGCGTGAACATCTTTCGCCACCGCAACTTGAGCCAACGGCGCTGACTGGAGGTGCTTTCACGGAGCACGGAGAGCAACTGACGCTTTTCCATCCTTAAGGGAGCTCCAATCGAAGCCTGCAGGGATCTCGGGGAAGGGTGGGTGGGCAGGAGCCACCTGTACGCGTCAGATCCCACGGCAGAGGTCGCAAACGGGTTTTGATTCCTTACCCGTACCCGTACCCGGCCGTACCAGGGTCGCAAATGGGTACCCATACCCGGCCGGGTACAGGTACCCGTATCCTACCCGTACCCGTACGCTACCCGAAATGAGTGACAAACGGTGACTCACCAGTGACTCACGGCCTACCCGTACCCGTACCCGGCCGCACCAGGGTCGCAAAGGGCTACCCGTACCCGTACCCGGCCGGGTACGGGTAGCCGGGTATCGGGTAGGGTACGGGTATCGGGTACCCGGTTGCGACCTCTGTCCCACGGTGGACATTCACCGGCTCAGTCACGTCCCAGAGGCACCGGATCTGCAACCCAATTCCTCTGCCATCGGCAAAAAACCGAGGAGAGACGTCGGTGTGGAGAACAGGCCTCAATATTGGCAATTTGCAAATCACGTTGTCTCTGACAACCGGGCCCTGTGTCCAGTGCTCGCGTGGATTTTATCCCTGAAACATTGAGACGAAAAAAAATAAATGCCGTTTGTTTCGCGAAAGGAACGGAGTTGTGGCGGCATCGGCAAAAGTGGTTTTCAGCTGCAATTTTAATGAAAAAAATCAACTTGTTTTAATTAGACTTTTTCAGACATATTCACACATGCATTGTTTTTTTTCAAAATCGAAAATTCTACGCATTAGACACATTTACAAAAATCACGCGGCAAAAAAAATATAGTGAAAAGAGTGCTTATTATATGTGTTGTCTGTTTATGTTTCTATACCAAGCTTTCCTATCCAATAATTAATCCCTCCTTGGTATGCTGTTAATCACATGACCGTACCATTATTCACTGTATCTGACGCATGTCTGACTATTCGCTGTAGATTTCTCAACACCCCCCCCACCAACCTTGTGAACCCCCACCCCCTAGCCCCCAGCCCCTCCCGCCACACCATTGCTTACTGTGCTCACTTGCCTGCAGTCTGTATTCACTTCGCCTCCATCCCTTCATGTGCTTGTAAACGTGTAACTGCTTTTGGCTGGCCATCGAACAAAGACGGTCAGCGCATCGCACGCTCTCAGATGCGCTTCTGCGGCCGTCTGGAACGCTCTTTCTTCCGGATATTATAAAGCCACTGGAACTATACACTTTAAACTCAACTAGACTGAAAACTCACTTCTTTTGAACTGCTTTTTGCGTTTAGTTTGTTGTCCTTCCCCTCGCACATCCGATTAGCACGGTGGGCTACGTACGGCGCGAAAGAAGTTCAACAGACATGCATGGAAGATTAGAGTAACATTCTAAGGAGCACTAACAGGCCACCTTCCGTAGAGTCATTTCATATCATAATAATATAGTGATAAAAGCAACCTTAATAATAATTTAAAATATATATCAATAATAAAAGTAACAGAAAGAGCGAGAGCCAACCCTGAAGACATCCACCACGATGCTTGAGTCTCCTATCTCTGTGCTCCAGCAAATCTTGTGTGCATGATGGCATTACGCGATTGTGACGCAAAGCATAAGCAAGCTCGGGCAAATGCTCAGGGCTCCAAGGAATTCAAGGGACTCTGGGTTTATGAAAAAAATAGGGCCGAACCAAAATATGAGCTCGAATTGAAAATCTTAACGAACTATAAAACGGCTGATTAACATGAAAAGTGAATAAATATTAAACGCTTAATTAATCTCTGTCATTCCTATCATGTCTGTATCTCTATTCTCTGATCTAAGTCGATCTTTGTCTCTTGTCTGCATGTCTCTCCTTCAACTAAATCCGTCTCATGGGTATATCCTTTCTCTCATCGCTCTACAGCTCCGCCTTTCATCTGCGCATCGCTCATCTCACGACATCGTTATATCTTTCTACATATTCTTAGGTTTTTTCGGTAAAGTCAACAGACATGCATGGAAAAGTAGCAGCAGCCGCACATTAACAACTCTGGCACCTCCCCCTCTCAGCCAGTCTACATAACAAAGGCTCAGTCCTTTGTTATGTAGACTAGCCGTAGCTTCATCCGCACCAACCTTATCATAATAATAAAAAAACTCCTATCCAGGGGCCTACCCTGGCTCCACCCCCCTCAACCAGTATATATATACAAGGTCGGATCTCTTGGAATTTTTCATTTACTTGATACAGCAAGCGTGCTGTGACGGTTCCACCTGAAGACGGAAGCTTGTGTTGCCTCCGAAACGTCGTGATTTTTATTTTATTTTTATTTTTTACCTACGTGACTTTACCGAAAATACCTAAGAATATGAATCATTGCAGTCACGAAAGCTTCAAATCTAGAATCTTTCTACATCTCCCAAGAAGTTTCTAAATTTTACGGGTGGCACGATTATTCCACCAGCACCGTCATTGGTTTTAAGGCCCATTACTTAAATCTTAGAGCCAATTCCAAAAATAAAATTAACCCGTAAAAACAAAGTTTTTCACTATAAATCCTTTATATGCGTGGCGGCTAGAGTCCTCTCGTCCTCTGGCTTGAGATGGCTGCCACCTATGGGTCAGATGATTGCCTGCCACCATTAAGCAATTGGTAATTAAATATTTTTAAAAATTTTCCTAAAAAGTGTAAAGTTATGGAAAAAAAATTTCACGAAAATAAATTGTCACGCACAACGAGTCTGTGTGCAAAATGTCAGCTCGATTGGATCACGGGAAGTGGGTTAAAAAACGACCGAAAGATTTGCACAGTCATAAGCGCGCAAGCAAGTGAACTTAATATAAAGGTTTTAATTAACTGGGTGTACGAATATTTTACAGTATAGTGATAAAAACGTAAAACCATCATTTACCACAATATCCTCTCTTCCCCAATCGAAAATAGTGACCTGTCGTTTTACATCCATTTACCTTCTGAAGTTTTGCAGCTATGGGCACCAGACAGCCGATAAACTGAAGGTCGCAGGCGCAATCAGAAGTTCGACACAATAGCGCGTGTAGCCACCGAAACATTGCAAGTTGCTCTCCGTGTGACCTCACACCAAGCGTGGCCTTTCTCAGTAAGGTCACGGGAGGACAAAGGCATGGATTACATTTTTTTTATCCATTGCACATTGCAAACATCAGCACAAGCTTAAAAGCTTTGTGTTATCATGCATTTTCTATTTACGCCCTAGGTCATGTTCCCACGTTCATGCGCATAGCTTAAAGGAGAGAAGGAAAAGAGGCGTTAGTTATGCAGGAAAGCTACAACTTGCTGCAGGGGTCTCACTAGCAGGGATCTATATAAGGGGGCAGTTATGAAAAAGGCTGATTCAGCTTACGCTTTCTGAGTGATGAGTGTACTTGTGTAAAAAAAATAAGTCAGACTACCTGGATGGTGACGTGATTCCCCAGTAAGGGGCGATCAGAAATATATAGGTTTACAAGAGGGCGGAGTGGGTGGTGGTGCAGTGGTTAGCGCACTGCACTATGAACCCAGAAACCTAAGTTCACATTCCCGTTGTTGAATTGCTGGCAATCAGAGGCAGGTGATTCTAGATTTGAAGCTTTCGTGACTGCAAGTATTCATATTCTTAGGTTTTTTTCGGTAAAGTCACGTAGGTAAAAATGTAAAAGTAAAATTAATAAAAGTAAAATAAAACTAAAATAAAAATCACGACGTTTCGGAGGCGACACAAGCTTCCGTCTTCAGGTGGAACCGTCACAGCACGCTTGCTGTATCAAGTAAATGAGAGATTCCAAGAGATACTACCCCGTATATATATTGGTTGAGGGGGGGGGGCCAGGAACGGCCCACTTTTTATTAATTTTATTTTTATTTTACTTTTATTCATTTTAATTTTAATTTTTTACCTACGTGACTTTGCCGAAAAAACCTAAGAATAAGAGGCAGGTGATGTCTAAACTGGCCCTATGCCCCAGCATTTTTGACCAACCTGCACTCACCACAGCGAAGCATGGTCAAATTGCTCCCAAGGCCAAATGGGAATGCCTTCAGCGAGCAGTCGATTGACAATCAACTATAAATTATTACTGTTCAAATTTCGATTCAAAGCTTTCGTGACTGCAGGGATTCATCTTCTTGGTTCTTTCGGTAAAGTCACGTGGAAGGGAAGTAATAAAATAATAAAAATAAAACATAATAAAATAATTCTCACGACGTTTCGGCCACAACGCAAGCAGCCGTCCTCAGGTGAAGAATGAAACACCACCAAGCTTGGAGCGCATATTTAAGGGGTTGGAGGTGGGAAGAAGAGCGCCTTGACAAAAGAATTTGCATATCAAGAGGAATAAATATGCTAAATTCCTCTTGATATGCAAATTCGTTCTACGTGACTTTACCGAAAGAACCAAGAAGATTGTTACTGTTGTTGTTGTATAAACTTACAAGCGCTCGTGCATAACTACACGCAGGCCTGGCCTTCACGTAAATGGCATCTTTGACAAACAGGGTGCCCCTTTACAGTAATCATCTGGTAAACAGAAAAAATACTGTCATTTGTCGTAATTTCCTATCTATCTTGCGACTTGCATATGTGCAACAGATTATATCCTCGCTTTCGTGACGCATTTGTAAAAAATCAAACTATAAAGTGCTCCGCGCATATACACTGAGCCTCCTCTCACAGCTCTGAGAACCTGGGATGGCTGCCCTGATCATGACCCTATCAAGAGGCCTAATAGGGCATACAAAGAGGAGCCTTTGGCAACCCAAAATGAATATGGCGGGCCCCTAGCTTTTTATAATCTTGAAAGACCAGGGATTAATTACACTGGTCAACAAAAATTAACATTTTTTTCTGGCCTGAACTTTTGCAGCTGTTTTAGACAAATTTCAGGGTGCTGATTCCAAATCTGATCTCAGATTTGCTCTATCACATCTCATTTTATGCTATCGGCATACCCCATTTTCATTTATTTTACCCGAAATTAACTGTCACTTATGATTGCAAGTTGTTGCGAGTCAGTGACTGCTTTAGTGTTAAAATATGGTGCTGTATTTTAGGATAGTGTGTTTATAATATAATTTTTTGTAGATATCCACATTTATTTAATATTTTTCTTCTGCAATTTTTATTGAAAATGCAATATTTGATATCTCAAAAACTGATGCCAGATTTGGAATCAGCACAGCAAAATTACCTTAAAACCGTTGGAATACCTTATGCCAGAAAAAGTGTGTTGACCAGTGTTATCTCCAACTCAGACGAGGGCATATTTCATCACAAGCTGCTGTCATTTATGAGTTACGTCTTGTCTGCTTCACCACGATGAGATAAGATACATATTTTATCTACAGTAGGTGTTACCAGTGGGAGTTTGGTGAGGTGACCCAATCTGTTTTTGGGAGGTTTTTTATTTATTCAAAGTTGTATTTTTCCAAAAGTATTCCCATCGTACCCTCGAGGCAACGCCATGCGGCAGAGTTTACATCCAGAACTGTCACGGCAAGTGGCGCAGAGAGCAGCCTGTGGAAGCGTATATTGTAGAACTACTCCTAAGATCCAAACAAGTGACCTTTCTGTTTAAATCCACGCAGTACAGGCAGACTTACCCACCCTGTCACGGAGAGACATAGCAACCGCGTAACAATAATATTAACTTTTGATTTAAAGCTTTCGTGACTGCGGGGATTCATATGCTTGGTTCTTTCGGTAAAGTCACGTAGAAGGGAAATAATAAAATAATAAAAAGTAATAAAATCATTTTTAATAATGCAAATATTTGTTTTACTTCCCTTCTACGTGACCTAACCGAAAGAACCAAGAATAATAATTATCAGAGCTGCAACTTGACAAAAGTGAAAAATGCATATTCACGTGATTATTCGTGTGTGCCGTTTTTTAATGACTGTAAACAATCAACCCGTTACATTTTAGATCACCTCTCTGTGCGTAGGATTTCAATGCTTCCCTCTCAGTAATCTCACCCCCTGAGTCACAACCAATGTAGCTGAGCTGTGCGTGTATTTTGATAATGTAATTCAGCCACTTGAATGTTTCACCTGATACTGGGAGACCGTGATAGAGTGCGTCATTGCCCACACAACTGCAGATTACACAACATGCGATGTTGTACATTGTGTTTGACAGCAGTGGGAGTTTCTGAGTGCCCTTGTCAATTCACACTCGAGGACAATGATAACCTATTTAAAAAAAAATACCAGCTTAGGCCCACTGAGCTATAAAGCTCTTTTTCAAAAACGACCTAGCCACAAATGATAGCCCGACAAAGTGGCTTTTCATCATGTGGAACATTTACCGCAGCCAAATAATCTAAACGCTTGTTTCTAAATGTGGAGGGGAAAAATTGGAAGGCCCGGAGAAAAATCCACACGACCATGGCGAGAGACATGAAAATTCCAAATATGCAGGTGTCGGGGTCGGGATCTAACCGACGACCTATTGTATACCAGGCGAGGTAGTCAACATCTCGCCACCGCGGCACCTGTATAGCCAAACAGAGTGTTGGAGCAAGCGTTGTTAGTGAACACCATATTAACTAATTCGCAGCCACAACTTAGTCTTAGCTATTGCTTACTGCATGTAATTGTTTTCTTTCCATTTCATAGCGATTTGGGTGGCAGATTTGTGGCAGAAAGGTGCCAACATGTTAACCAAAACAGGCCAGCACGTGTGGGCAATGCAGTGACCAGCACATTGCCCAGCCTCTGAGACTGAAGTGAACTCACCGCACCAGGTACTCATATACCCCTCAGTCGGCCTAGCAGTAAGAATGGGCTCAATTATTTATTTCCACTGATGTTATCCATGGCCAGGAACCAAACTCAAGTTTCTGTATTCGTAGTCCGGCGGTTGTATCTCTGGCACTGCCGCTCCCCGTGGTCAACACACTCACACACAATAAAAAGACAAAGATCCCCCACATAGCCTCTAACAGACTGCTAAGGCAAGTGCTGTTAGCGACCAACTATGAAGGCCGGCACGACATACGATGGTTTAGATGACCAACACCACGCCCGGCCGCCTTTGTCTCCCCAGTGGTGATGTTTACACACCGCACCAGGTACAGTGCTCATATGAGGCTGAGCCGATGTAAGGGAGGACCAGGACCGGTTCAGAAAATCATCACCAGTCTTGGTGGCCGTGAGTGGGAATCGAACTCACACAAACACAACACCGGTACACAACTGGGTAAAATAAAGATGGATTAACGGCACCCATAAATGGTGCGCTTACGAACGCGACAAAGAAACCGCGCAAGCAGTTTCTATTTCTTCTGCATCATGGTGCTGATGAGGTCCATGGGCAGCGGAAAGATGATGGTGGAATTCTTCTCGGACGCGATGACCGACAGCGTCTGGAGGTAGCGAAGCTGCAGGGCAGCCGGCGCCTCTCCAAGCACCATGGCAGCCTCCTTGAGCGCTCGCGAAGCGTTCACCTCGCCCTCGGCCGCAATCACCTGCGCGAGGATAGAGGAAGGGTCAAAGGCAGGGTCAATCACTGCCACTGTGGCACACGTAATAGGCAGAGGATTATTCAAATACACACCACACGTGCACGCAATCTGACACGTATACAACTAATTCTAGATTTTAAGCTTTCGTGACTGCAAGGATTCATACTCTTAGTTCTTTCGGTAAAGTCACGTAGGTAAAAAATGAAATTAAAATTAATAAAAAAATAAAACAATAAAAATCACGACGTTTCGGAGGCAACACAAGTCTCCGTCATCAGGTGGGACCGTCACAGCCAGATTTGCTGCATCAAGTGAGGGAGGGATTCAAGGTGTAAGCTCTTATTTTTATTGTTTTATTTTTATTAATTAAAATTTCATTTTTTACCTACGTGACTTTACCGAAAGAACTAAGAGTACGTATACAACTACTCAAACAACCATGATAGCCCAACCGCACGTGCATCCACATGAACGTACAACAGTAAGGGGGGGGGTCAATGTGCATGTGATTTCTGTCAATGTAGTTGTAGTTGAGATGTCACGTGTATGTAGGTGTAGTTGTGGATGCACGTGCGGTGGTTCCTTGACCAGTCGTTATCATACCTGTCAACCCCTTACCTTTTTATAGACCAATTCAGACCTTATTGGTCACCCCGTGCCCTTATAAATCCCAACGTTCATTATACAAAGTCCCATCACAAGGGAGAAACACAAATAGACACAATTATGTAAAATAATATTTGCCCGCATTTAAACGGCTGTACCCCGTATGGACCTAAAAACGCAATATCCCTGTAGAAGAATACGGGGTAAACCGTATGGGTTGACAGGTATTAATATGCACGTGTGATCATAAGTGTGGCTGGCTGCGAAGTTCAACATACATATGTGTGTACATTGTTGTACTTGTAGTTGTATGTTCATGTGGATCTATGTGCGGTTGGGCAATCCGTGGTTGTTTGAGAAGTTGTACACGTGTGAGATTGCGTGCATGTGTGTGTGTGTGTTTGGTTGAATCATTATCTGGCTATTATGTGTACCACAGTGGCAGTGCCCATGCGCTTAACCTTCAGCAATGCAAGTTCGACCCCGATGAAGCATGGAGAACTGAGTGGAGTTCAAAAGAACTCACAAACAAACACTGCCAACGCTGTGAAAGACGCAACTACAGAAGATCCCCTGGTGGTTTCACCTTCCGCGAAGCTGCTCACGGGCCACCCTATAACACCGCATCCACTGCGCAACCCACGGCAGCAGATGCCGATACCAGACGATGCACTAATGGGACATTAAAATCTCTCCGGCGGCGTGTGACTGTGGTCATCCGGAACAGAGACGGTACAGCGCGTAACGACGCAATGCCCGATCGACACGTTCGAAGGAGACATTGCGGCGACGATGCACCACTCCCCACGTGGTTATCTGTGCTTGACCACCTGCATGTGCAATTGTCGCTGTTGCTCTGCATCTACATCATCCGTACGACAAGAAGAAGAAGGAGGAGGAAGAGGAGGAAGAAGAAGAAACAAGTATAACCACCCGTAAAAACAAAGTTTTTCACTATAAATCGTTTATATGCGTGGCGGCTAGAGTCCTCTCGTCCTCTGGCTTGAGATGGCTGCCACCTATGGGTCAGATGATTGCATTGCACCATTAAGCAATTGGTAATTAAATATAATATTTTTTGTCCTAAAAAGTGTAAAACTTTGGAGAAAAAAATTCACGAACATTAATTGTCACGCACAACGAGTCTGTGTGGAAAATATCAGCTCGATTGGATCACGGGAAGTGGGTTAAAAAACGACCGAAAGATTTGCACGGTCCTAAGCAAGCAAGCGAACTTAATATAAAGGATTTAAAAAGAAGTGCCCCTCATACGCGTGCGAGTGCCCCCCACGTGACCCTCTGGGCCTACACACCTTGGCACGAGCTTCTCTCGTAGCTTCCGCCTCAGCAGCCATGGTCCTCTGCAGGTCAAGGGGCAGCTTCACGTCTTTCATCTCCACGCGCTCCACGCGGATCCCCCAAGACTTGGTGGCATCCAACAGGATGGCCTGAGCAACCACACAAAGACAAAGATCGTCCCGTATAGACTTGACATGCTGTCGGGGCAAAGTGCCCGCTCTTCGCGAGTAGCAACTTATGAAGGACGGAACGGCACACAAAGTGGGTTTAGGTGGCGAGCACCATGCCCGACCGCCTTTGTCTCCCCAGTGGTGATGTTTCAACAACACACCATCTTCTTGGTTCTTTCGGTAAAGTCACGTAGGAGGGAAATAATAAAATAATACAAATAAAACATAATAAAATAATTCTCACGACGTTTCGGCCACAACGCAAGCAGCCGTCCTCAGGTGAAGAACAGGTCTGTCGGAAAGACGCTGTCTGACCTGTTCTTCACCTGAGGACGGCTGCTTGCGTTGTGGCCTAAACGTCGTGAGAATTATTTTATTATGTTTTATTTTTATTATTTCATTATTTCCCTTCTACGTGACTTTACCGAAAGAACCAAGAAGATGAATCCCTGCAGTCACGAAAGCTTTAAATCGAAACAACACACCGGTTACTCATTTGAGGCTGAGTCGACATATGCACACACGCATATCCATGCGTACACACACACACACCAAGACAAAATTCCCCCATATAGCCTAGAAACTGCTGGGACAAGTGCTGTTAATGAGCTCCTACGACGAGGTGAATGGTGCACGTGAAGGAAGGGGTGTGATCAGCATCACACCTGACTACTTTGTCTCCCCATTGCTGGTGCTTTACACATCATGCCAGCTCTTCATTGAAGACCAGATTCTGATATCACTCACCACCAACCAATATTAGCCTTGGCCAGGAATTCAACTCATAGAGTGCAGTGTGCTAACCACTACAGCACCACGTCCCACAAAGCTCACACACGCACACATAGATGGTTCGTTAAAAGCACCATATGAGCAATGTGGTGCATTCTATAAAAAAAAAAACTCACCGTCTCTAATGAATACCGCCCCTCTGCCCTTTCGTCTCCAATGCTAATCAGCATGCTTCTCCATCTCCTCCGCTGGGTCGTGCAAATTACAGACGCCGTTACCTTAATCGTTACACGTCACGGTACGCGTGTCCGTCTGCGCCGTGGTTGAGACGGCTTCCCGCACGGGCGGTGTCGCGCTCCTGCCGCTGCTCAATCCGCTCAGCCCGTGATTTTGTTTCATGAGCTGTGTCTCGAATGTGCCGTCTGTGCCCACGCGCTTGCCGCGTGCGGCATCTTGAGACGCTTCAGATATTTAGATGCTACGTGCATTTTATATATATATATGACTCGTGTGGATCTGTGTTGGAGAACCTTTTCCTTACTCGCAGCCAATTAGGACTTTCAAATACCTTTGGTGGGTAACCACACGTCAACACACTGACCTCAGACACATGTGTGAGTGAGGTCCTTGCAATGAGTCAGCACGATACAATTAAAAACACAGTGTTGCCAGCTCTAAAATATACCCCGCTAGCACCTGCACAGTGACATATAAATGCTTGCATTGATTGAACGTTGCTTTTGGTGCCGTTTCAAAGTGGTAGGCCTCGTGTATGAAACGAGGTCACAGGTCAGATGTGGCTGCCGGACCGTGGCTTCCACAACCCTGGACTAGAGTATTTGTACCTCCATGCGGTCAGCCATCTCCTCGCGGTCGGTGAGGATCTCCGACAGGTTCTTGGTGCCCAGGACGTTGCGCAGGGTGGTCATGGCCAGCAACCGCGTGGAGTCATTCGCGTTCTCAATGTTGGCCACCGACATGGTGGGGTTGACCTTGCGGTAGTAAACCACGGCATCCACCTGGATTGTCACCGAGTCGCGAGTCAGGATCTGCAGAGAGGTCAGGCGAGAGGGAGACGTTGTATTAGATGTTGTGCTTCAGTAAGACACGAAAGGGACGTGGGAATGATGTATAATGGGGGGTTGGGGGCAGAGAGGAAAAGTGGAGGTTGGTGTGAAAAGTGCAGAGAACATGACCAAAAGATGGAATGACCAACAGGCCTCTCCCCGGCATAGATTTTCTAAATATTTACAATTGCACCACGAACCTCTTGAGGCGGAATCTGGAAGGAGATGGTCCTCAAGTCCACGCGTATGAAGTTGTCCGTGCATGGTATGACCATAAAAATACCTGCAACAGACACGAAAATTAACCATCTGCGTGCAATGCATGAAATGAAAGGTAATTTAGTCCATGGATCAGAGCAGAGAATCAGTACCTCCTAAGGTAGCAGCAACTTTAGTGGGACATATTTATTTAAATGGTGAATATTAGTGAACTACTTGAAAGCCCATAATGAATGTAATGGCCACGCAAATAAATTGTAACCACTCAAGTTATGCCAAATCCGATGGTAGCGACAAAGTGAAATATGTGAACTGGTGGGCTAGTGGACTAATTGATGTTACATAATTCCCCACACTAAACTTAATTATTTTTTATTCTACCAGGTAAGGCCCACTGAAGCTGGACAGCTCTTTGTCAGAAGCGACCCGGCCACATGTGGAAATTTATAGCAGCCAAATACTCTTAACGGATGTTTCGAAATGTGGATAGAAACACCAGAGAACCAGGACAAAAAAATCCACGCGACCGCAGGGAGAGAGAGAGATAGAGACACGCAAACTCCACATATACAGCAACAGGCGTCAGGGCCGGGATCGAACCCACGACAGCCTGTATACCAGGCGAGGGAGTTAACATCTCCTAGCCACCACGGCACCCCCTCATTATCGCATTGGCCACGATAACCGTGCAATGCGTCGGTGTCTTTCATGCGAACTCAAGCTGGGCAGCAACGTGAATGTGCTTATTATTCAGCGTTCAAAAATGAAACATCACACGCATGCAGCATTCGCGCCGGCTCTCGGACAGTGTTGACATCTTTCAAGTCCTCACTAAAAAGACATATATTTTTTTTAAAATGCTTTCTTCCAAGCGGCTTCGTTCCTCCGAGGCCTTTATTCTTCTGCCCGGCTCCTGATGTGTTTTCTGGAAGGGCGCCTCATAAGTGCAAATTTGTATTATTATTGTGCGTGCACTCGTGTCCGGTACGGAGCTTCACTGGAGCGACATTGCCCTCTCTGGCGCGTTAGGGCACTGCGCGTATTCACTCGTTCGTCAGGAACAATAATGTAATATTTCGATTTAAAGCTTTCGTGACTGCAGGGATTCCTCTTCTTGGTTCTTTCCCTAAGTGATGCATATCGCGCTTATTTTAAAGTCAACACATTTTATTTACTTCTGCCAAACAGCATCAGCGTCATGCGTTGAGGATTTGCCATTCAAGCAACAGAGGGCAGCACCAAGGCACCCAACGCGCGTGCACGTGGGCGCGTGCACGCTGAAACAGTAACACATTCATCTTCTTAGTTCTTTCGGTAAAGTCACGTAGAAGGGAAGTAATAAAATAATAAAAATAAAACATAATAAAATAATTCTCACGACGTTTCGGCCACAACGCAAGCAGCCGTCCTCAGGTGAAGAACAGGTCTGTCAGAAAGACAGCGTGTGTTCTTCACCTGAGGACGGCTACTTGCGTTGTGGCCGAAACGTCGTGAAAATTATTTTATTATGTTTTATTTTTATTATTTTTGTTATTTCCATTCTACGTGACTTTACCGAAAGAACTAAGAAGAAGAATGTAATAGTCGCACCAATAATAATTAATCACAGCTTGATGCTTTGTTTCCTTATACAGAAACCTCTTTATGAAATTACCGCATTTCGTTCCCCCCCCCCCCCACCACCACCCCACACACAAAATACATATTTATACAGATCTGAGAATTAATATTGCTCGTCAGCTGTGTGGTGGGTGTTTTCTTTTATAAATGTGGGGGGGGGGGGGTTGTATTTTTTTTTCAACTGAAAGCAAACAAGTTAAGTGTCCTTGGACAGAGATAATATTTACCAGGGTACTAAGTAGCCAATTGGTTCCTTTCAAGCCCAGGGAAAATGTTGGCTTCAGAGTCGAGCTGCCAAAATGTGGCCCCATCGCAAACAGGCACTTCAACATTTCACCACCTAAATAATGAAAGCGAGCCATGCCATTAATCATCGCGGCACAGTATTCAATTACATAATTGGCAGTGTTGGTCTCCGCGTGCGCCGTGCAATGTGACGAACGCATAGATAGGCCTGTCATGAGGCTGTCGCACGATGACCCATAGCCACCGGGTTTAACGAGCGCACCATGTCACATGCGTTGCAGTCCCGGATTAAGCTAGTGCATATGTTATAAAGGGGCCTTAATTTTACTTTAAAAAACGCATACATATGAAAACATACATTTTTAACTTGCATAGTAAAGTAATTACATTTTTTAATGTGCTATACAGACAAATATTACGATAAATCGCTAACCTTAAACACCCAGTCGTTTATCAAATTAAAGGCGGTATAGTACTATAGTAATACAGCAAGTGCAGAATCACTGAACCGGAATTGATAGCTTGACAGCATTTAGCGCGGGCCCTTGAAAGTGTGGCTCCCGTAGCTGCTAATGTACATATGTAGCTACTTTTGCTACTAGGAGAATCCGGCACTGATGCGTTGGGGCCGGTGTCTTCGGTTGTGATGCGCGCCGTTGTTCGGTGCGGATGAAGGAAACCTCAAGAGTGCGGAAGAGGGTCACACGACCAGGTGAGCGAGGTGGGTGTCTTGTCAACACTATGCCACCTCGGATTTATACAAGGTGCAGCCACCGCCATCACCTCGATGTTCCTATAAGAAGGCCAGCCAGCCCGGGACATGCATCCCGTAAAATGTTGCAGGAGCAATAAAACATAGAATGCGAAACGTGTTTGTTCGGCGTTGCTGGACTGATTTGGAGCGGGTTATTCACATCCACCGTTGCCTGTGATCAAACCAACCCAATGTTGTCAGATTTCAGAAGCTAGGTGAAGTATGATCAAACAACCCCCACGATGGATTGCCATAAGGACTGTGAATGTACACTTACAGCATTACATGACGCACACTCCATCATATGCTTAATTAAAACGGAGATTATTTCGCGTGGGGAAAAAAAACTGACGACGGTAATATCAAGAGAGTTGATTTTTTTTGGTGTTTTAACGAAGGCAGCACTTTGAAAACAAATGTGACGCCAATGAAGCGTGAAAATTACTGATGTCAAAAAAATTGAAAAACCGCCGGGCGATCAACTCAATGAGCAGCCCGGAGAAAGGTCACTTGGAAATGACCTTTTTCCTAAAACCACCACGGAGCACAATGGCTCTTGGATGGACCAATTTAGCGAGATTGTAATCAGTGCCGCCATAGCCACGTGTATACGCCGGCTTGTAAAATGTTGCCTTATTAACAGCAGTGCCAACCTGCTCAAAATATCATTACCTTGTGATTTATTTTCAAATGTGTGTGTGTTTTTTTTTAAGCGGGAGAGTTGGTGGCAGTTGAGGAAACAACGGGGGCGTTTTCATGAGCAGGCTTTTACTCAGTAACCATGGTGACGTAGGATACATAACTCGGCTTCATCTATCATCATCATCATCAGCAGCAGCCATAATCAATCCACTGCTGGATGAAGGCCTCCCGAAGCCGTCACCATCTCTCCTGGTTCTACGACGTGACAATCCGCCGAGCAAGCTGACTTACATCGCTCCACTTCCTGTACGGCCCATGCTTTGGCCTCCGCTATGTCTTGACCATCGGTCATTATCCCTCACAGCAGGGGAGACCAATCCCTAACAGACCAAGAGCCTTAAAATACCCGCGAGTTCTGCGAAGAACCAAGTGTGTGTGTGTGTATATTGACAGTTTTTGGCCCAGCATGGGAGCCATTCATTATTCTTTGCTACTGTGACAGGATGCTCTGCGTTGTGCCCCTTCGATAGAGGCGCGTGTAGTGGATTAAGGAGCCGCATGCAGCTTGGGAGACGCCAGTTGGCCACTACTGCCTGATAGGGAAGTGTCCTGCTCAAGCCTATTTACTTTACTGAACAGTTTTCAATTAATCCATCGTACAAGATTTGTAACGTGCCTTATAGAGCAAAAAGCTGATCCATATGGTCTCTTCTTTCTATATCTCAATGAATGTATGTACTCATAATGCATGTTTCTGGGTTAGATCGCGTAAGTATAAATGAGCCGTAACCCTCCACTACCCTTCTTACACTCGTCCAAACCGATTACATGAACGACTTCTTACGAAGCGATTATCCCTAATTGACGAAAGACAACACCTCAGCGTTGACCATCGTTGTATGTATTCAAGTATTTTTAGGCTGTGATGGAGAAACAAACATGACTCGAGACAATGTTTAGCGAACCTCCTAATTATTTTCTCATTTTACAGGGTTATTTGCAGTGCACATGACTGTGTCCTCGCGTGTTTGCGTATTTTCTTGATAAACAAACTTGCGCAAATACATAATAACAATACATGTCGATGCGAACATTGGTGCGCCGCCAGGTTGGAAACAGCACGCTACGTACACGTTTTAATATGCTACCACGATAATGAGGTTATTTTTTAAAATACAGCAGCATCATTGTTGCGACTGCATCACACAATTCGCAACGCACGGAGGCCCATAGACTAAGACGTCTTCAGCCAATGATTGAGTATTTATACGGGAGATATATGAAACAGCTTCCGTTGTATGATTCGCTCAACTTTGACCTCAGAGGCATGCATATATTCATGAGCATTCAATGGCCCTTAGCTGTACAACCCTGAAACTTGATTAGCCCAAAACTGTATAACAATATAAATTATTCCTTCACGTGGTTTTTTTGGTGTACGTGCGTATCATTTAATCACGCATTTTATGTGTTTAATAAGTAAGATTTTTTTTTATCTGAACTTAAAACTCAATTGATTGAAAGTGGCAGATAAAACTCTAATTGTTTTAAGGTGAACTAATTCGTGGCTCAAATTTAAATGTAATTCTACTAAACAGCAGCACCAGCTGATGATGATGATGGCCAGCTAAAAATTATCTCAATTTCAAAATAAATGAACAAACAAACAGAGCATCATCATCAAAGATGACCAAACATAACATCGTTAAAGGTGGCCAATGACCTTGGCACTGAATGACGTGATTATTTTATTTGCTAAAGATGAACAGAAATCGGCGCGTCATGTGACCACAACGACAATTTTGATACTCCTACTGATACTCCTGCTGTTATGGAGTGACTCATGCAGCCAGCTATGGCTGCAAAGTTTGGTAGTACATGTTGTGTATATCGTTTATTGTAAAATTTCAATCACAGTTCCTATGATCACTGTTACATTGCTTTTATAGCTTTATTTTGGTGATTTCGAAAACGTTTTGGTTTAGCCACATTTGTTTGTTGTAGTACATAGTTAGACTGATTACTTTAATCTAAATTGTCTTATGGCTGTTATTATTTTACTTGCATCCCACTGGGATTTTTGCACACAGCATTGATATACGGTGCTTTTTCTGCAAGACTTTGCTGTTTTTTCCTGGATTTTTCTGTTTGCGTGTAGTCACTTTAAGATGTTTCTTGTTCATGTTTTTGTTTGTTGCGGTTGCACCCGATTCAAGAGCCGCATGGCTCACAGGGCTATACCTAATGAATGAAACTGAAAACTGAAACAACGGGGCTATCTCACAGTGCTTAGGTTACATTACCTGGGCCCTTGGCTCCCCCCTTCGCGATTCGCCCGAGTCGGAAAATCACCGCACGCTCGTATTCCTGCACGACCTGCAGACACAAAATCAGGACCCAGATGTTATGGCCTGCGGCACGTGACACCCAGCGACAGTCTCATCGCAGGCCTATCAATGTGCTGTGAAGAAGGGCCATGGACCGAAACGTTCACTATGAATAGAATTTCGATTTAAAGCTTTCGTGACTGCAGGGATTCATCTTCTTGGTTCTTTCGGTAAAGTCACGTAGAAGGGAAATAATAAAATAATAAAAATAAAACATAATAAAATTATATAATAAAATTAAATCATATAATAATATAATATAAATGAATAGAATGTTTAATTTTTTAAGACAGTGTTATTGACGAATTTGTTGAGCGTGGGGTCGGGGGAGGGGGTTATTGTTGTTATCATAGGTGAGTAAATAGGAAAGTGTGTGTCCCCTCCTGTGTGATGCTAAAAACAGGGCACTTGAAGACGTTTTGCGGGGGGAGAGTCCGTGTGCTGCTCTGTAATATCTACAAATAGATTTTCTAATCACATAACATGACACATCTAGCAATGGAATACAGTTTGAGGTGGGTGGGGAATAAGATAAAAGACAAACCAGCATGTGCAAGGCCGTACGTAGCCAACCGTGATAATCGGAGGTGTTACAAATGCTGACACATCATTTTTCGCAGGACTGTTGCGATTTGACTCCGGCCATCAAACTCCTTAGATTTGAGAAAACCATTGTGATCACGAGTGGCTAAATAGAATTGCAACCCAGGATCTCAGCGGTGGAGACTCGGTCATCTGACACATCGTTAGACCCCTTGCGCCAGCAAGACACTTAAATCTACTGATTTTTAACACCAGTTTGCAGGGGAAAAGCATCGCCATTTAAACGCTGAGAATGGGTTCTGAGCCACACTAAGTGATGCCCCGGGTCAGATTATCACAGTTAAAGGGCCACTGCGTGACCCCATCTTTGGTTTCCATTGAGAGACCTAAACCAAGTGGACTTTGCTCCAGTCAGCTTGAAATCCCTACCCTTAAAGCAGTGCCGTTCAAGCGAAAAATATAATGGCTGATAAAAGTCCTGTGGTGTTGTGCTTAGCTACAATTGCGTCGCCTTTTGTGAGCCGTTGTGAATGCAAGGGATGCTACGAAAATAACCTTTCGATTTGCTGTCTGTACACCTGCGTAAACACGCAGATTGGGGCCAGATGGTTGCGGGATAGAATTACAATTCGTGGAGCAAAACAGATGTCCGTAACTGTGTCATTGAATTGAGGTTTGTGTTTTGTTTAAATGTTACCTCTGAATTATCGTATAGGTTCGCACTAATTGTTGTTTAACGTTAACTTACATTGATTGCTATGAACTAATTCCCCCACCATACTGAATGCCAGCTTTCTCTCTTACATTTGCTCTCAAGATGTATTTTTTTAGCAATTATAGGGGGTCCCCGCATTTACGACACAATAAAATAATAGAAATATAAAAACAATAAAATTGTATTGTTTTTATAATTGTATTGTTTTTAATCAAATTGTATTCTTTTTATATTTTTATTGATTTAAAGCTTTCGTGACTGCAGGGATTAATATTCTTGGTTCTTTCGGTAAAGTCACATATATTTGTATTACTTTATTGCTTCCCTTCTACGTGACTTTACCGAAAGAACCAAGAAAATGAATCCCTGCAGTCTCGAAAGCATTAAATCAAAACATACATACATGTTACATGTTCTTGTATGAACATGAAAATCGGGAACACGACCGTAATATCGCCTTACCCACCGTGTACCATGCACATTTACGTAGAGCATTAGCAACCTCGGACAGCGTGACCCACACAACAATACACCCACCTTGATGCAGAGCCAAACAGAGATGGGGAAGGTGACGACCAGCAGTATTGCTGAAAAGACGAGCAGCAGGATCCCACAGGCACCATAGCCATCTTCCCTCTGCGAGTCTGGGGTCAGATCGACGATACCACGGGGAACATTTACAGGCGATGTGCGTTCACAACCACGTGGGTTGACAACGACGTGGGTTCACAACCACGTGGGTTGACAACCACGTGGGTTCACAACGACGTGGGTTCACGACCACGTGGGTTCACGACGACGTGGGTTCACGACGACGTGGGTTCACGACGACGTGGGTTCACGACCACGTGGGTTCACAACCACGTGGGTTGACAACGACGCGCGCTCAGTAAGTTCACAACGCGACCACCGACGGGCGATTTCCAACGCAAGCATTTCCACACTCCCCCCCCCCCAATGTGGCTGCTATGAACCCGAATTTAATTGAATCTTTTTGCAGTAATTTAAAATTGGAATTGGAATCCGTTAGCCGGCTGCTTGCAGAGGAGCTTACACGTAACTCATGTTTAAAGTTAAACAAAAAAATTAGCATTCATAAGGCTCGAATGATCTATTCCATTCAATGCAATTGAATTGTGTCAGCTCTATCAGATTCACATCCAGGTAACATCAGCAGTGTAAATTATAGAGCAGTGAATGTTGTTAAGTCTTGTTAACGGGTAAGTATTACATTGTAAGTATTTAGTTGATTGTTATTAAACATAAACTAAATATATTAGGTGTTAGTTACATGTAAATCTAATAAAAAATATATCTATGCATTTGTATTAAATATAAAGATTACGTGCAGACATTTGATAGTTCTGGATGAAGGTTGCATGACAAACAAAATATTGCAAACCACTGCACTATAGTATATGTCAAACAGACACACGCACACGTGGGCAATATTTGTTGGTCACATGCCACAAAAACCAACGTTGCAAACCGCCCTCCATCGAGGGAGCGGCAGCGTTTGCAAGACCCCTCGATCGGACAGGTAATTCTGTGCCCCTTCACGGAATGCTTCAGCCGAGAGAGCGTCTTGAGCACCCTCGAGTCTACCGGAGCGCAACGTCCGTCGGAGCATCATCGCTGCCAACAGGAGGGTGGTGAACCCCACGTCGCCTCTTCACTCATGTTGCTGCAGCGAGCCACTTGCAACCGCCCAGATGAATCTTAATCTGAACAGATTAGCTCCAGTAGGTAAACCTCGAATGAGCGGCGAACACATCGCAGCCCTGTTGACTCGTATGGTATTATGGAATCCCCCCGATATCCTGTGCAAACTTAACGGTGTTCATTTAAATTAACATGGACGTTTTTCATCGCCAAAACAATCGTCCACGTGTGTGCTTGGGTTGGGCCACGTGGTAATTTTTTTAGGGCAACATTCTCGTCGCAATGAAGCTATCTAAAGAGTAAAATCGTGGAGGAGAGCCATCTGCAATGTGTACTATCCAAACCGATTACACTATGGGTGACAACCCTGCCTCACACTGGAACAGCCGGATCAGAGTTTGTAGCACCCTCCAACTGGCGCCACGAGCCGCGATTCCACTCGGCGACCGAGTGCCTGACTTGCTGACACAAGCCAAGTGTTTGCGGTTCAGTCACAGTACGACAGAACTCTGTGCAAACTGGGCGTATGAACACTTCACGTGGCCCGAGAAGTCTCGTCTGAAGAACACTCATCGAGGATGAGGAGCAGGTGTGGTCGCACACACCTGCAATCGAACACTCTGGAGGCGAGGAGTTGGTGGCTCATACATGTTTGCGAAACTCCTGAAACCACTGAAAAAGCTGTGAGGTGGCCAGGAGGGTTTTTAGAGGCATCAAAACGGATTTCTTCAATTTCTCCGCGTGTGTGTACAGCTTGGAGTGTTATCCTCCTCGCTTGCGTGGGGGTTTTCACACAGATCTCTGGTTTCCTCCCATACGTCAAACATTAATTAAATCATACTCTTCGGTAGGTACGTAGCTTTACCGAAAGAACCAAAGAGTATGGATTCCTGCAGTCACGAAAGCTTCAAATCAAGATTAATTAAATCAGCGAAACATCCCGATACGCTCCTGACCAGTAAAGGTCTTAAGACGTGGTGAGACTCTTGTGGCTTAATAAATCATTAATTTTATACATTTTAAACATGAAGGAGAGTTTTACAACGAACAGTGTTTCAGACCCTTTTCGCTGCAGTATTTATGAATTGCAGGAGTAAGTAGGTTGTTATGGTTAAGTAATAACTGAGCACGACTGACACTTAAGCACTTGGACGCATATCTAACAGAGAAATGGTCTTGCCTATAAACATATCTGACTTTTCGCCAGCATTGGTTTAAGCGAGCCTAACTCTGCTGAGATACTAGATGTTGAAACCGTTCCAGATTGTGCTTGTTCTAAACCTATGGTGCTGAAAAAAAAACATTTCCAGAAGGCTTTGTGGCCAATAGGGTGTGAAAGAAAAATACTTAAATATATATTTTGATGTTGAGAGAGACGAATTGTCTATTTATGTTGATACTTAAACGCACTTGTATATGAAAGCCAAGCTAGCATCCATGCACTGCTGGGAAAAATACTGGCTGGAGAGTGCAGCAGTAGCGAGCTTGTACAATCTGTTAGCTGAGAACGAGTCTCAAGGGTTCTGCATAGCAATGTGCCTAACACCTTGCAGGCTTAAGCAGTATTTTACATGACTTGTGAACCCATTGCATCTCGGCATAAAATTGACATATGCTGGGAGATACCACTAAAACCCCTCAAAAGGCAGACCAATTAACCTACTTGCTGTACTGCACTGCGGTGGCAACATTCTAACTAACTCGCCTGGTATACAGACGAGGTAGTTTGGAGTTGTTGTGCTCTCCCCATGGTTGCGTGGATTTTTCTCCGGGTCATCCGGTTCCCCCTCCACTATTTATAAGCATGCGTTTAGAGTATTTGACTTCTATACAACTCCACATGATAAGCCACTTCATTGCGCTATCATTTGTGGCTGGGTCGCTTCTGAAAAAGAGCTGTACATCTATCTCAGTGGGCCTTACCTGGTAAAATAAAAAATAAATAGTTTAAATGGAAGGAAAATAGTAAAATAATAAAAATAAAACATAATACAATAATTCTCACGACGTTTCGGCCACGTCGTGAGAATAATTTATCATGTCTTATTTTTATTATTTTATCATTTTCCTTCTACGTGACTTTACCGAAAGAACCAAGAAGATGAATCCCTGCAGTTACGAAAGCTTTAAATCGAAATTTAGTTTAAATGGCTTTTAACACCAGCCACCCCCATACACACACAGTGAAACCTATTCCATGATGACAAAGTGCTGGATTACAGCGTGTGCGTGTCGGTTGAATGTACGGCAGCTCCAAGCCTCTTACCTCCCGACACCTCCATGCGCTCAGTCACAGCGGCTACATTTTGATCGTCCACCGACGAGCGCTTTTGGACTTCGTGTGGCTCCGGGTTAATCGGAGAGACCCTGGCCGTGTCCATTCGTCAACTCAAGCCTGGAAGGACAGCCGGACAGACATCAGCGACAGCCCACAACTGCGATAAGGGTTTGCGTGCGTTGTCTTTAGTGGGGGGGGAGGGAATCAAGTTTCAGGCTTATTTTGTTGAACCGGGAGAGTCTCGTTTGCAAGAGTGAATTATGAATTGAGTATCCAATCATCAGGTGATTGCTTGTGTTGCAATCGAAACGTCGTGAGATTTTTATTGTTTTATTTTTATCATTTTATTATTTCCCTTCTACGTGACTTTACCGAAAGAACCAATAAAATCAATCTATGTTGTGTTGTCACTGACAGGGGAGAGTGAGGTGGTGATCGGTGAGCAGTTCTCTCCACTAGACGCGTTTGTGTTCACTCAGATCCACGCCCTTTCACGTGACAAAGTTGCAGTTTTGATCAGGGGAATTATTGAGATTGCAGATTTTTTTGGTAATATCTTTCTACGACTTTTGTTTCTGGAGTTATACGCAAACCGACAAACAAACGTCGTTTAATAAGTTAATAGTGGTCCGATGATAAGAATAATAATGGTTTGGTTTCAGTGAGTTTTTAGGCAAACACAGTGGCAAGCAGACATCTATAGAATCTGACTGCCTCTAACATTGCAACTAAACTCAAGGACGCCAACTTCCCCCAGCTCAATGCCCAGTACACGAGTCAATGAAAATGTTAACCAGCATTGCTCAGTGCACATAAGACCCCCCCCCCCCCCCTATAATCCCTTCCCTCTTGCCGAACAAAAGGTCACACTTTCAATCTAACGTACATCTCCGTACATGCGCCCTGCATATGAATGTTCCCATCGCTCTATGCAGGCGTATTATTAGGAGTAGTGCAGCATGTGTTTAACAAGTCCACGCTCTGATGGAAATTGAAACCGGTCCGGTTTGCCTGTTGAAACAAATGCTGTTGGAAACCATTTGTGTTTTTTTTAAAGCCTCAGGGGCGGCCAGACAAAAATGTATTGCTTTTGAAGTTTACACAGTGAAAAACAACCAATTCTATACTTATTAGTTATTCATCATATGTTTGCCTGTCTCAGCATCAGTACTGTGTTTTAATATACCTATGCTCATCAATATGAGCCACGTTGCATCTGCTGCTGGATGAAGGCCCACATACACCATGTGGGTTATTCGACCACACTTCGCCAAGCTGGTCAGAGCTGGTTGGTAAAGGTGGGCAGCGTAGACACGAGAGCATAGAAGTGCGGTACAACAATGGATTCGTTTTTCCGCACTGGAATCTGCTGCACGGATGGTAGCCCCAAAGCAGCAGCCTCTAGCACCTATTAGTGCGCGGTGGTTGCCCATCTCAGAAATGTCCAGGCTCAATACTTGCTTAGCTTCTGAGATATTGTCAATATCGGATGCGTGCCGGGTGCTAATCTCCTCGTAAGTCTGGCAATGCGCCTGTTTAGCTACATTCAACAGAGCAATGAGTCAGATGCTGAAAGATGAGCCACTTTCATCACGAGCTGTTGCTCTGATCATGTTCCCTAAGCGGTCACTCGGTCTCCGGTGACACGAGTGTGTGTGTGCGTGTGCTCGTGTCGAAAATATGAACCGGTCCTGGGCCTCCCCTAGGTCAACTCAGCCTTAAGCGAGTAAATAATTGGTGTGTAAACATCAGCAGAATTTGGGAGACAAAGGTGGCCAGGCGTGGTGTTGACCGCCCAGCATCTCGAGTTCCATGCGGGCCTGAATAGGTATTTTCTGACAGCACTTGCCCCAACAGTCAATTAAAGACGACATGGGGGATATTTGCCTTTGTGTATGGCGTAAAGGGAGTGACAGCACAGCGGTTTGCACACTCAAGTTCAAGTTCATTTCAAGTTCATTTATTAGGTATAGCCCTGTGAGCCATTCCGCTCTTGAATCGGGTGCAACCGCAAAAAAAAACAGTGACTATGTGCAAACAGAAAATCCAAGAAAAGACAGCAAAATATTGCAGAAAAAGCACAGTACACCAACACTGTGTGCAAAAATCCCAGTGGGATGCAAGTCAAACAACAACAACCACAAGACAACTTAGATTAAGGTCATCAGTCTAACTCTGTACTACAACAAACAAACATGGGCAAACCAAAAAACTTTTCGAAAATCACCAAAATAAAGTCATAAAAGCAATGAAATAGTGGTCATAGGAACTGTGACCGAATTTTTACAATAAACGACGTAAACAACATGTACTAGCAAACTCTGCAGCCATAGCTGGCTGCATGAGTCACTCCACAACAGTAGGAGCATCAGTCGGAGTATCAACATTTTTCAATGCACCTTTAAGATCAGCACACTAAATCAAATCACACTGCTGCACTACGAACTGGGCCACCCGAGTTCAATTCCCAGTGAGTACCTGATGCATTGTGTAAACACCGGCATAGGGGGAGACAAATGCAGCCTAGCGTGGTGTTGGCAATCACCAACCACACGATTGCCATGCCGACCTTTATAAGCGCTCGCTAACAGCCTGATAAAGGCACCACATGGGAGCCCTGTGTCATTGTGCTACTGTACGCCTGTGGTATATTCACCTGAATTTTATGAGTCGCTCTACAGGTGTCCCTGAGTTAGCAACACAACTTGACCCAAGGTGGCAGGGTTTCCTTTGCAGAAATAAAAAAATATTAACTCAGCTTTGGAAATTATCCCAGATGGTTAGACTTCTCTCATTATTACCCATCCAGCTTCTGTGATCTGACATATAGGTTGTTGATTTGGTCGTTGGCAAGATGGCGAGTGAAAGTGTATTCTGTTGGGATTTTGTTAAATGAGTGGGTTAGAACGATAGTGTCATTTTTACATTTTGTAAAAAAAAAAATCCATCTCAAATGGTACCAGGCAAGTGACGTATTCGGTCTTCTTACATGGGACTTTGAAATCCCCTCTTGGAACCACACCGATTGTTGGAAGCTTAATGAGTGAGATTCACACATGCGTTATTAATGATTTGTTAAAAGCAAGACCGTGTGATCCATACTCTTTGGTTCGTTCGGTAAAGTCACGTAGGTATAAAATAAAATAAATTAAATCACGACGTTTCGATCGCAATACAAGCGACCGTCATCAGGCGGAACCGATACAGCAGGAGGACAACTGCAGCTGATGACAGTCACTTGTGTTGCGATCGAAACGTCGTGATTTAATTAAATTCATTTCATTTTATACCTACGTGACTTTACCGAAAGAACCAAAGAGTATGGATCACTTCAAATCTAGATTAAGACCGTGTGATTTTAGTCAAACGAACCCCAAAAAAATAGCTTTAATAACATTCGGATAATCTGCCATAGAGTGGACACCCGGCCTCCACCAATTGCCATCGTCTTGAAGGTCAAACTCTGTTTTACGTTTCGCTGCCTTAGTCATAATGTCCACCGCTGGGTTGTAAAACTGAATAACACGTGGCACTGTGACCGAAATGCCAACAAATCATGTCAGTCCACCACAGTGGACATGCATTTTGCTTGACCCCAGCTGCTGCTGACAAGAGTGGAAGAAAGCTTCATAGCTCATCAGATTGTTCCAGCTGAGATGGAATGTCTACGGCTTATAGCTTTCGTGACTGCAGGGATTCATCTTCTTGGTTCTTTCGGTAAAGTCACGTAGAAGGGAAGTAATAAAATAATAAAAATAAAACATAATAAAATAATTCTCACGACGTTTCGGCTACAACGCAAGCAGCCGTTTTCAGGTGAAGAATGAGACACTCCTAGCTTGGTAGTGTCTCATTCTTCACCTGAAGACGGCTGCTTGCGTTGTAGCCGAAACGTCGTGAGAATTATTTCATTTTATTATGTTTTATTTTTATTATTTTATTGCTTCCCTTCTACGTGACTTTACCGAAAGAACCAAGAAGATGTCTACGGCTATTATTCACAAGAGGCTTCACCACTCCACAAGCGCTCCTCCTTACCTCCGTTACGTGAGATTTGTGAGCCAGATCAAAACAATTAAAAGCCAAAACCTTTGTTTAAGAATACAGGATGTCCTTGTTTGCCCACTCTCACACAAACAACCATTTTCTCTCATTTAAAATAAAAAAATGAACTGCTGATGTGCATTATGTCTGGAGTATGTAACACGTTTGGCTGCCACATGAACCACTGTTGAATGATCATACGGCAGCCCAGACGTGTTTCCCTGTTCTCTAATTATTTCTCCTGGAACGACCAAACCAGCACATCTCAGGCAACAAGGCGACATCGCGTTCACCAGCGGGGATGACGGCTCACGTGACCACAGCAGGTCGGTTTGGCACTACACCAATTCCTCCTCCTACACACAAAAGCCGCTCGTGCAAAGAACGTCTGGCAATGCACCCCGGTATTACACGTGTTCTACAAACCATTGTCTGTAAAATCCCCTAGAGTAAATCAACATTAATATGAGTATCACGAGTATTGCTCCGTGAGGCCTGTGTTGTTTACAATTGTCACCGGGTTATATTTAGATCACTTCATCGAGATCAATTAATGCAAGCAATTAAGGGTTGTTGTTTTTTTCCCCCACCGTCACCTGAACCCCCTACGTCACGCGTTGTGGAAAATCCCCGGGATGCCCCCACAGAACAATGCCTCGTGCCGCAGTGCGCAGGCTTCACGGCAATTTGTCTCCTTCGCTGACAATGTTGTCCGTCTCCTTCACAGATCCGTCCATCCACAGAAACAGTTACGTGCGAGCATTACTTTGACAAGTCCATCGGCCGCGCAGTCCTTCGAGGAGTGCGTCATTCCAGCAGTTTCCAACACGCAGCGTCTCATCAGCAGTCTGGCTTGGTTAAATCAATGCTGGTGGAACTGCCGATCTTAAAGGCAATGACCCTCTCATTACGACATGGTGTCCTCTACTCTTCAATACAGGTTCGGGTTTGTGAGTGAGTTTTCGACCAACGACATTCACATATTGTGGCTTCCTCCTCACCCTGTGACATTACAAATGGCACAATTCAGCCCACACCTCCGCTAGCTTGATGCTCAATGACCCTTCCACCCACCCCGGAAAGGACAGTCGAATAGAAAGGACGCAGTCACGCAGGGCAGCATCTTATGAAGGCAGTGGGTCCACAAAACCATAACATGCCGTGCCCTTTATTGGGATTGGGATTCACTTCGAGAGGAAGGCATTTGCAGTTCAATCTTTCATGGGCATGCTCCTGAGTTCAAGGAACGATAATTCTGAAAACAGTATTGCGATGTGAGCAGCATATCATTCTGCCCATACAGTATTGACGCAACCATGCATATACATAGAGAACGCTTCTTGTCGGTTTAAATATTAAACGTAAATTTATTAGAATAATTTACATGCACAAATAACCAGTACACATGTAATAAACATCATTTAATAAGATATCCAACACCTACACCTGTTTTTAAATCCTGGACATATTAAATAATTGTGAGTGGTTTTAATTTTAGCGATGTTCTAGAAGGGCTAGAAAGCTTACATTTGGCACATATATAATTAAGTCCCATGTTTATAACTACAAATAAAATAAACCGAAATTTTTAATTTGGGTTCCCAAGCATTACTGCCAAGTTGTTGAAAAGTTTAGCAGAATCCACCTAAGATTATTAATTCCTTTAAAGTATTGTAATAAACACGTGATAATATACAATTCCGTCATCAGAGCGTAAAGTAACTTAACTTGTCTCATTTTAAGTGTGACAAGTATTTTTGCAGCCCTTCATCAATTCACTTATAGGTGAAGGCTTCCTGGCACCAGATAATTTATGGGGCTTGTTTAACCATACTTCACCACGCTGGTCACTGTGGGTTGAAGGGGAAGCCCAGGACATCCGTGACAAAATATCACTCGGCAATGAAACTCGGGTCTCTGGGTGCGGAGGATAGTCAGCTAACCACCACAAGAACTACCACTGCTCCACCATAATGTGCTACTGCTGGTAATCAGCTACTAAGCAATGCTGTGTACACATCATGAGAGCAGCCACAAGACTTTGATAATTAGGCTTAAAACATAAGCACACAATATACACTGACACTAATTGTCTATCCCACCATTCATGTATTACGGCACAATTCTACTCTATGTGCAAATGTAATGGCCTTCAAAAAAAATATGTAAACAGACAGAAACGTGTATTTATATCCTTCAATCTTAAAAAAAAAAAATTGACCGTCCATGATTGCCGGCCACTGCTGTGTTCGCAGTAGGGGTGAGGGCATGAGAGCTGTCGCTGCCATACCTCGAGCAGACGGGAGCGTGGCGAGTCGCTGGCAGCTTCGAGCCTCGAGTGCTCTCCACTCGTGAACGTGTCGCTGTTATACACCGCGCTATGGCAACGCACGCGACACTCGGAAAAGGGGCTCGGCACGCAGAACCACAACAGCAAACAGCAGGTCACGTTGCATAATCGCCGGTTCTTGGAGGTCGCCGTTCTCTTCTGCGGTCACGTGCACATTCAGAGGCGATTGAGACTTACTCTCAAGAAACCTTGCTCTATTGCTCGTGTGATAAAGAGTTGCCTTTGAGATGTATCACTTATTTGCACTCACCCTCCCACCCACAACACCATTGCCATCGCGACTTTCCACACCCACGTTTCACAACAGAAAAGGAAAGGGTCTGGGGGGGGGGTGTCATCGTCGTTCACTGAGAGCGCGCCGGCCGGCATGGGCAGCGGAGGCGTGCGAATCTTTGCGCAACAGCGCAAACCTGTAGCCAGGCACCATCCTAGAAACGCCACAACTTGACTTGGTTGGCGACTCAGTAAGACATAACTCGAGCCCTATATAATGCTCGATGAGAGTTTTCCAACGCCTCTCGGTGGCGTGGGCTGTTTGACTATACAGTACTTGGTCAGTGCGGGTTTGTCTGACTCGAAGGAGGAGGTGGGGGGGGGCTGCCCCAGGACCCGTTCAAATATCACTTGCCACTGATGTCAGCCGTGGTCAGAAATCGATCTCACAGAGCAGTGTACGAACCAGTGTACGAACCACTGTGCTAACCAGTGTGCGAACCACTGCACAACCGTTCCAGACCCCAATTGTGCACGATCAGCAATGACAATTATTACGCATTTATGTTCCAGGCATAACCATTGTATTATCTTTATTTTACACAAGTGATTTCTCACAAATGATGCATCATATATTTAATAAATAACACTTTGGTGACAGTGGCTACAGGTGGCCTGTCATTTTTTTCTTATTTGTAATCTAGTTGCGAGTCAAATTTGGATTTTGGCAAACACTGAAACGAGATAATTCTCTTGTGAATGTAGTCACAGCATTCTAAACATCCCACTTCACAGTTTAACGTGCTTCTTTGTTCATTCTAAACAAACCGTAGTGGCATCTGCAAACATTTAAATCACATTTAGATATCATTTGCCACGTTCATTTTCACATATAAAGAATTTACATTCAATTGTTACCCATAAACCTCAAGAAAAACTAGGTCCGAATTGCACGACAAACTACCTTAACATGACTGCATTGAGGCACATCAATAATCATCAGCTGTGGCAAAAGCATGGTAAAATAACCTCCCAATACCCGCAAAGCATGGGGAAGCCTTCATCCAGGGCTGTGCATGTATGGTACATTTATGAGATCACAACTGTCTTTTTAAAACTCTATGAACCTTCAAAACATGTTAAACTAAACTATGTAGAACTTATTGCTTATTTAACCAGGTAGGGCCCACTGAGCAATCTAGCTTATTTTAGAAGCGACCTGGCCACAATTGATATCTCAACGAAGTGGCGTATCGCGTGGAAAGTTAATGCAGCCAAATACTCTAAAGGCGCATTGTATATGTGGAGGGACAAACCGGAGGACCCGGAGAAAAATCCACGTGACCACGAGGAAAACATTCAAACTCCAAATATACAGCAGACGTCAGGGTCGGGATCTAAGACACAAACTCATGTATACCAGGCGAGGTAGTTAACATCTCGCCACCATGTTCCCGACAGAAAAAGGCACAGCTCATTTAAACACCCCCTGCTTCACATCTCCAGGGCTCCAGGCTCATTTAAACACCCCCTGCTTCACAGTTCCAGGGCTCCAGGCTCATTTGAACACCCCCTGCTTCACATCTCCAGGACTCCAGGCTCATTTAAACACCCCCTGCTTCACATCTCCAGGGCTCCAGGCTCATTTAAACACCCCCTGCTTCACAGTTCCAGGGCTCCAGGCTCATTTAAACACCCCCTGCTTCACATCTCCAGGGCTCCAGGCTCATTTAAACATTCCCTGCTTCACATCTCCAGGGCTCCAGGCTCCGACATCGCATCCCAAAGACGGCGAAGTCTCCTTCCTTCAACGAGTCATCCGCACTGCACGTGCAGTTTTCCCAAGTGGGTCCTTGGAGTGACAATGCCGCATCGCAAAGTAGCTGCGTCTCCCCCAATGCAACGACACAGAGAGCCCAGCCGTGGATTCCAGAGGGGGCCCGCCAAGACTCCATTATGGCGGGTTTGACAAAGTGACGGTGGCTGCTCGGGGCAGCATCCTGTTCTGCGGGAAGAGGTACTGCCCGGAGCGTACGATAAGTCTGGACACCGCAACCCGCACCTCTTTGGTCCTGAGTCCGTATACGAGAGGGTCCAAGACTGGGGGCAGCGTGACGAACAGGATCTGAGCCGTTACCTGCGGGAGACAAAGACAAAGATCCCCCCCCCGTATAGCCTTAACAGGCAGTTGGGGCAAGTGCTGTTAGCAAGTCACGCCTATGAAGTCCAGCACATTACACGAGGGGGTGGGTGGCCAGCACCACACCCGACCGCCTTTGTCTCTCCAGTGATGATGTTTTTACCTACCGCACCAGCTGCTCATTTGAGACTGAGTCTACCTCGGAGAAGAGGCCCAGGACCGGTTCAGATAATTGTCACTGGTGTTGGCCGTGAGCGGGAATCGAACTCGGGTGACCAGGTTCGTAGCGCAGCATGCTAACCGCTACACTAGCTATACACGCAGCATTGTGGCATTGTCATCCATTGAAACGTCAAGGAACACATTGGCTAAACTAATAGCCTTCTGTATTCATATACTGTACACCTACTGTGTATGTAATGTACATGCACAGCACGTTCATTGCCAAACCCACTGCTGGATGAAGGCAACCCCAAGCCGTGTGGGTCACGGGGTTAATGTGACCATACTTCAACATGCTGGTCAGTACAAGTTTGAGACGGCAAAGTGTGTAGATGTTGGGGCATAATACCTGTACAGTCAGAGTGATTGAAGCAGTGCTCATCTTCTCAGCCATTGGGTGGAAATTCATCGTTACCATTGCTGGGGCGAATCTCTCCATTGGAAAAAAAACCCCACTGTTGACTTCCCCGCAAAGTGGTACTAATTTTAACTATCCTGATTTGAAGCTTTCGTGACTGCAGGGAATCCATACTCTTTGCTTCTTTCGGTAAAGTCACGTAGGTATAAAATAAAATAAATCACGACGTTTCGGGCGCAACACAAGCATCCATCATCATGGCTTTCGCACCTGATGATGGACGCTTGTGTTGCGGCCGAAACGTCGTGATTTATTTTAATTTTAACTAACCTCGGAGTTACGATGTGCTTAGTCAACCACCAATAAAGATTTGAACTGGCTTCATCTCCCGCTGACGACACAGCCCAGCAGCAGCTTGCAGCAGCAGCCTGTCACATCAGCTGAAGCAGCAGCCTGTCACAACAGCTGTATGCATTAGTGGTCGGCCATCCAAGCACCGTGCAGGCTCAACACCGACTTAGCTTCTACGATCAGACGAGATCGAGCGCATTACAAGTTGATTTGGTCCAGGTGATTATCAGATATAAATTATGGATGCATTTGCCGTACACTGTCAAGCTTTTGTGACTGCAGGAATCCATACTCTTTGGTTCTTTCGGTAAAGTCACATATCTAGCCTCTTGTTGTAACAGCTCTCTCGCTAGTTCAGCAGTTCAACTGCTGGATTATATATTTTTCCACCTGATGACGACCGCTATTGTGTTGCGATTGAAACGTCGTGATTTATTTTATTGTATACCGACGTGCCTTTACCGAAAGAATCAAATAGTAGGGATACATCCTGTTGGGTGGCGCAACGGTTATTTATTTAGTTGTTTTTCATTTATTTATTTTTTTACCTACGTGACTTTACCGAAAAAACTAAAGAGTATGAATCCTTGCAGTAACGAAAACTTCAAATCTAGAATTCAAATCTAGGGTTATCTATTTATTTATACAACCTAGCTTCCAATCAACACGTTGAAGGTTCAAACCATGCTCGGAGGCTTACACAGCTCTTCATCTCTATGGGGTTCATTAAACGCACAGGACTTTGTGAGTAGTCAAATTAACTTATCCGATTGGTGGACTCATCCCTTGGCAGAGGAATGTGGACATTTAAACGCTGGCTCTGGACTGTAAAACAGGAGGTATCATTGCCGTGTTCGTTTGAAGCGAAAGACTGAACAATATTTTAAAGTATCGTAAAGCGTAGGTCGGGTAGTGTAAAGATACTTTTATTTTTTTGGAAGGACTGCTATATGAAGGAGATCATATCGTCAACTCATGCATCTTGTTATTTATGTTCTCCACAACGACGCTCTTGAATATTTCGTTACATATATATTTCGCAATGCGTTCGCGTGTGTCAGGAACACACGTACGTTTGTAAAATAAATGTCTTAATTGTCTTTAATGGGATTGTTTGGTTTTCATTGATTGCCATGAGTATGCTAAACAGTACAATGGCATCATCAATCATCTTCGTTCGCCGTTGTCAACAAACTGCGACTCCCCTTAAAAGGGGCAGACATCGCCACCTGCTGCATTTCTTAGTAAACAAATATTGGTGATGCCGTTTTGATAGTGACTTGTGCACAAAGCACAATTAACATTCCACTCAAATTAATCATCGTTAGCGTTGCTGTCGAAAACATATTTATAAATAAACAGACATGTCTCCTTGATATATCAATCTCTCTATATACAGTTTTGTAAAAAATATGTCATCTTATTTTTAAAAAAAATTTCTGGCTGGCTGGCTGGAGCACGGGTGAGCGAGTGCGCAGTGGTGACGTCACCACGCACATCTGCGTGATGACGTCGCCCGCATCCCACAACGTTGAGCCGGATTTGTACGTCATGACGTCACGCCCCCTCCGCCCCCACCCTCCGTCCCAACCGTGTATCCCGAGCAAATAAGCCGCCAGTCTTGGTTCGTCTCTTACAAGACACAACACAAATATAACGGGGTATTTATCGCCTTGAACTGGGGCCCATATCGTAAAGAAAGAGAGGGGACCACCCCCCACCGCCACTTTGCCTGCAAAATCGACAGTTCACGAGCAATAATAATGGTAAAAAAAACCTGATAATTATATTATTATATTATCAGTGGTGGTCGCTGGCTTAAGAACCGCGAAGCTGTGCAACAAACGGACCACGAGGATGTCCCCCCACCTGAAGTTTGTGGACGAACGGGGGGTCAAAGCACGGGTCAAGAAACGGAGCGATTCCTGCCAAACTCCACGTGCAGTAGAAGAGCAGAAACACCATCACCTGCACCGGGCACAGGTCAACAACCCATCAGCCGACAATGTCATCGCGCTCATCTCAGCCAAGTTCGGAGCACATTCAGGCTGCAGCGACTGTTTCATGAACATACCATGTGAACAGTTTACACCGGGAGAATTTTTTAAAAAAAAATTATTATTGGAGGTGGTGAAAAGTTGAAAACATTGCTGAGAGTTAAAAGTTATACTGGTTGGAACCTCCTGGTTACACCAGCCCACAGGGGATTATTGTGTCCGTCGTGCAGGGAGGGGCTGGGTGGTGCTAGGTGGGGGTGGGAGGGGTGGGATTGGATGGGGAGGGGCTGGGTGGGGAGGGGCTGGTCATCCCGTGGTGCCCTTATAAAACTCAACGTTTAACCTACTCACGCCGGCTTGTGCCCGCCCTCACAGTCGGGCATATTTACACCACGCCGCCGTTGACCCTGGCCATTGACCGAGCAACCCAACGTTCCTACCAGCTCCCTCCGCAGGAATGTGTTTATGCTGAAAAGCCTCCTCATTCAAGTCTCAAAATTAACACGAATTAATCGGTGATGCTGCGTTGGCAGTGTCGAACAAATAACAAAAACTCAATAAATTTGTCAATAACACTGCGGCCCTTGGGCAAAATATTTTGAGCAACGGCCCTTCATCATGACGCACAAACTCGCTCCCATAGTCTTGCAATTGAGGATGTTTGGTCATGTCCATTGACAGAGCGTTTGGCATGTGGGTTGTCATCTAGGAGTAGCTGGAGAAAGCGCACAGATACGAGGTGTCTAATGTTCAACGCTTGATACAGATACGTCCCACAATATTGCTGGACTGCCAACTCCTGGGCACTATCCCCCCTCCCTCATTGCGCCTCTGTGTGTATATTCATCAGTGGGAGGAATATAGGGGACTCGTAGTAAAACCTCCCACACAAAAGGGGAAAAAAACCGCTCAAAGCTCGCAGATTCAATTCCCCTGCCAATGTGCCTCATCATGGTCCACCCGGTGTGACTCACGGTTTGTATAATCCAACCGAGCTATTGTTACACAAACCCTTGCCGATGTTTTGGGTTTCCCTAGCAACAAAATGTCGCACGAGAGACTCGTGACACATCTATCAACATTCACTGTTGAATGGAAAAGCTTAAGCCTTTTTAATTGAACAAAGCCACCCAGTAGCAGGCAACACGCCCGAACCATGCACCAGTGATCAAGACAAACCTACGTTAAAAAAAGAGTGGGGACTGCCATGTATATATGTTGAATGAGGACATTGGGCAGATATATACCAGCGATTCCAGGTATACATTAAAGATCCTGTATCAGTTTAGTGTGTGCTACACTTGGTTAATTGTATGGTCACATTGGGGCTGTCTAGAAACTGTCCCGAGGTTCATTTGGCGAATTTCCCATTTTAAGCGACAAACGCCACCTACCCCGCGCCTCCGCAACGGCAGATCGCAGGCGTCGCTCCAAGCCCGGCTCATCGCCCCCTTGGTCATGGGAAACGTCAACATTCCCACCACTCTTCGATTTAAAGCTTTCGTGACTGCAGGGATTCATCTTCTTGGTTCTTTCGGTAAAGTCACGTAGAAGGGAAATAATAAAATAATAAAAATAAAACGTAATAAAATAATCATCGTCTGTCGGGGAGACCTGGTCTTCACCTGAGGACGGCTGCTTGCGTTGTGGCCGAAACGTCGTGAGAATTATTTTATTATGTTTTATTTTTATTATTTTATTATTTCCATTCTACGTGACTTTACCGAAAAAACCAAGAAGATGAATCCCACCACTCTCTCAAGACAAGCAACAGACACACGCACACAAGCGGGGCACCACCCAGTGCCGGATTATCCTAGTAGAAAAAGTAGCTACATGTGTAGTAGCTACATGTGTAGTAGCTACATGTGTAGTAGCTACATGTGTAGTAGCTACGGGCCCCCGCACTTTCAAGGGCCCCGCGCTAAATGCTTTCAAGATATCAATTCCGGTTCAGTGATTCCGCACTTGCTCTATTACCATAGTACTATACCACCTGCAACTTTTATGTACGACTGGGTGTTTAAGGTTAGCGATTTGTCGTATTATCTGGCTATATCACAAATGTAAAAATACTGTGCAAGTAAAGTAATTGTGTTTGAATGTTTTGTTTTTTACTTAGGGCCCCTTTATAACACCATATGCTACAGGCCCCGCACTGGCTCAATCCGGCACTGGCACCACCCCCATCCCACTACACGTGGCGGGCAGTGAAGACGATGGAATCGAGCGCAAATTGTTTTTAAATCCTTTATATTAAGTTCGCTTGCTTGCTTAGGACCGTGCAAATCTTTCGGTCGTTTTTTAACCCACTTCCCGTGATCCAATCGAGCTGACATTTTGCGCACAGACTCGTTGTGCGTGACAATGCATTTTCGTGAGAACAAAAATTGAAAATTTTTACACTGTTTAGGGGGAAATTTTTAATATTTAATTACCAATTGTTTAATGCTGCCAGACAATCATCTGACCCATAGGTGGCAGCCATCTCAAGCCAGATGACGAGAGGACTCTAGCCGCCCCGATGCCACGCATATAAAGGATTTATAGTGAAAAACTTTGTTTTTACGGGTTAATTTTTTTTTTAAGTTCCATCCGCCGTTACCTGGGTGGTGCACGTGCGTATGGCTTTGGAGCGACTCTCCCCGTACCCGGGCGTGCAAAGCACGCGCAGGATCTGCACGTACGAGAAGACCATGCACCCGATGGCCGGCAGGAGCAGCGCGGAGGAGACAACGGCCACAACGATCTCGGTGGCCATGGTGCGAGGGCACGTGAACCTGGAGAGCGCCACCACGTCGCAGTAGACGCCGCCCATGAGCGTGTCTGCGCAAGAGGTTCTCTCTCGACGACAGCAGCGTAACGAGGAGTGCCGAGGCGAGGCACACGACCAGGGCACCGCACGCCGCCTTCTCTGTGAGACGGTTCGTGACGAGTGCCGGATAGCGCAGGGGCAGGCAAACGGCGATGTAGCGGTCGAGGGCCATGAGACCCAGGGCGAGAACCTCGCTGAATGTGGTGAAGTAGACGAAGAACGACTGGGCGAGGCAGCTGGCGACGCCGATCCTGCGCATCCGCCCTGCGCTGGCGCTGAGGACGAACACGAGACCCGAGACGGACGCCAGGAGATTGAGCACGGAGAGGTAGAGGAAGTGGATGTACATGGGGCTGTGCAGCTTCGGGCTCAGAGCCACGGTGGCGATGAGCAGGCAGTTGAGAACGAGCGACAGCACGAAGCACGACGCGCAGTAGACGTACATGGCCACGCCGCTCGCGTCCGTGTCCGCCCTGAAGTACAGGAACACCGAGAAGGTGGCGTTCGGGTCGCGTACGTCGTTCCCCACCACTCCCGTTGCAGTTCACGGCCACGATGTCGTCGAACGCCATCGCTGCATGCTCCGAGAAAGGCGTCTCGGACTGGCGAGTGCTCGGAGTTGTCTCGTGTCGCGTTGCTTCGGGCGAGATTGACGCTATTCGCGAGGCGTGCGTTGTTTTTTTTACGCAGCACCGGGCTGAACAAGGTCCCACACGTGTCAAGACATACACCCCGCAAAGATACGAAAAGAGAAGCCTCTGTTTGGAAGTTGACCTTTCCGGTGATAATAATTAGCACGTTAGGCACACCTTCAGCTTTTGGACTCAGGAATTGCACAAATAAATGTGATTGAAGGAGCTGCACGGGATATTAAGTGTTCCAGCTACCAACTCGAGCTCAGCCTCTGCTGCAACAGTCAATGCTGGCTAAACCTTTGCTGTTAAAATAAAGGGGCTTAAGTCAACAGGTCACAAGCACGGCCACGCAGGTATTCCTGGTCAATTAAACCCTTGAGCTATTCGTGTGTGTGTACGCATTAGCAGAGTGAAAACACACACTGACACGTATGCAAAAAAAGGCTCATGACATGCAGGCCCATTTCTTTGTCGGAGCAAATCAAAACAATGAACCTATAAATTCACTGTTTTGTGTTGTTAATTAGTACTGTGCTTGAATTTTGGCTTATGGCCAGGATGCGGTCTTTCAGTGATGAACAATGAAGGTTTCATGACAACTCGATCTCAGTTAAGAGGAAAATATATACGGTTAAATACAAATTCACCAGATGACAAAACTGAAGTCTCAAATGGGACAAAGTCTTGCACTGGTTACCAACGAAGCTACATTAATGGTGGCGATATTGATCACGATTACCGACTTATTAATATAATTCTTTATCCTCACCGGAATATTTACCTAGGTGTAATGTGCACTTTCCACAATGACCAACTATAGATCTAAATCAGCTCGAGCCTTCCCTAAGTTCTTGAGTGACCACCATCCACTCTGAATCGCGCCCCTTCTCCCCACCCCCTGTGAAAACAGACGCCGTTCAGTGAAGATCGCTTCTTCTTTCTCGCTCGCTCTTCCTTCCCTTCTCATCATCACGACTCTCGTGTCCAACATCTTGGCCCGGTCCCCACTCCCATTCCTGCCCAGGGCTCCTTCCTCCTTGAGCCGTGCCGTGTGTCCGTCTTGGGCACTTCAGTCCCAGAATCCTCTTTCTTTAGCCACATATCGTGACATCGCTGGATGTCAACATGCTGGGTGTAGTACCGGCCCTAGAGGGGCCCGGTGAGCGCTGAATAATAGCGCTGGATGGAACCACGCTTTACGTGCAGCGCTGACCCTACAGGACAGCGTGTGGGTGCCGGCCGAAGGATGAGGTCATGTGAGGCCATGGCACTCTGGTTGACCCGGGAGGACACGTGACCAGTTAAGTTGACAAAGGGGCACCAAGAGGGGGCTTGGGGTGGTCACGTGATTGGGACCCAGATCCTTCCCGAGGATTCTGGAAGGTGGACGTGGCCAAGGGTGGAGCCGGCCACGCCACAGAGGATAGAAGCCGGGTCCTGAGAGGGACCGGGGTTCATCCTGGAAGAAACCCTTCGTCTGTGTTCTCCGTTCAACGAGTCTCCAACACGTGGACCTGGGTCGAAGCTGTTGGTCCCAGTCCGAAGTAGCAGTAAAATTGTAACTAGTGGAGCTCGCCTGGTGGTCACCATCCGGCTAACTACACCAGTCACGTGGTAACCAGTGTAGCTAGCCTGGTGGTCATCACCATAGGTTGTTATTCTGTTAAGGGGAAAGTTACCCCGTGTGTTGGAACTGAATACATGTGTTGCCTCCAAGTCTACGACTCAGTTAAACTCATTACACATACATTCTATCCTTGACTCTACGGCCCCTTTCTATAGTGCTACCGATAACGGCTTTATTAATATCGAACACTTCGTATATAAACTGATCATTAATTATGGGTGCATAGCATGCTTTGAGGTTGTAATCAAATTATTATATAGTACATGATTGGAGTCTGCAAGTCATGAAACGAATCAGCCCCCTCTCCCCCACCAATAATTAAACGTCACAAATAGTGGTTGCGATATCATTCAACAGAATCAGTCGTCGTTTTCACTGTGTACCGTTTCGCGTGTGTGCCCGATTTGGACAGTTCTGTCCGCTCTATCCCCTTGTATGGCTTATTTCAACATCTGGATGTAATTTTCCTAAATTATAATTATCAAACACACCATTGATTGCAATTGATGAATGATACATCGTTACATGCCTATTGTCTTCTGTTCATTTCCCATAATGCACGACACTACCCCAGATGGTGGAGGGCTTTTGTGAAATTGTATCATAACACTCGAAGCCTCGCCAACATCTGCTAATGCTATGCAAGGTCACACGCGCGTTCTAAATGCCGAGCGATAAGACAGGATGTGGTTAAACTACCATGGGCTAGAGGGGCATGCCTCCTCACACGATGCTTCCTTCCAAAGGTTAGTGCGGAATGACGAGCTATTTCACTCATGCTCTCATGAGAGCGTGCGTGTCTGCCCTGCCATGGTGAGAGTTGCGTTAATGTGTTCCTTATCACCGTTGCATTACCAACTTCCAATTGAAATAAAGTGGTGGGCTTTCCCTTTAAGTCCAATATTGCCAATACACAGAAAACAAAGAACACCCTGTACTGTCGAGAACACACGTTGTTCTTGTGCACTCCTAGAATTGTAATACTGTCTAAGAACAGAAATATTCCTGAATGTGGCAATCCACAGTCACTAACATTTGACATTATGTGAATGTATTCTATGTGTCCGTGTTGATTTAGGTCCGTTTTTAAATAAAAACCAGTAAAAGGCAATGAGTTGTTACAATTTGGTTGTGCATGTCTTCAAATACAACAGTAATTAATGCTAGTCCTATTAAGAGGAACTATGTCTGCAGTTACGAAAGCTTCGAATCTAGTTGGAACTATACTGGTAGGAACCTCCTGGTTACACCAGCCCACAGGGGATTATTGTGTCCATCCGTCATGCAGGGAGGGGCTGGGTGGGGAGGGGCTGGTCACCCCGTGGTGCCCTTATAAAACTCAACGTTTAACCTACTCACGCCGGCTTGTGCCCACCCTCACAGTCGGGCATATTTGCGGAATACACCACGCCGCCGTTGACCCTGGCCATTGACCGAGCAACCCAACGTTCCTACCAGCTCCCTCCGCAGGAATGTGTTATCCTGTAAAAAATATTCTGGTGCTACTTTTACTATATGTATTGGTTCATTATTTGAAGATAAACACATTTAATGCTCTATTTTATTCAAGAGACATTTGAGCATCAATTCCAGTCAATATTTAAAGCAAAAATATTGACATCAAATCTCAGTTCCCCCAATAGCAAAAGGTTATTCAAGCGATATCTGATTTACAAATTTCGCTTTAATAACATTTACAAAACATTAAATTAACTATTGACTTTCTTTACAACCTATACATCCTGAAATTTCCCCCCAAAAGATATGTTCGAAAACTTAGGGGCTAAGATTGAGGGCTGCAACGGACAGCATGGGAAAGTAGAAATTGCACGGAAAGAATTGTCCATTCCTAGAAAGATGTTGTTCAACCGTACAAGAACATTTAACATAAACATGACCTCAATGTTTCATTTATGAAATATTGTCTTCGTGCCCGCAAGATCTCTGACCACAATCACAGAATAGCTGCACACTTTAAACTGAAAAGTTGTTTTATTACGCTTTTGGCACCCCTGAATATCCCGCAAAACTTAAAATTCCATTTTGGTGCCAGTGCCTTACACGTAAATCAGTTACAAATTCATTACAAATCAAAGAACAAATTAAGGACAGGGACACACTGCAAGTGCTTTAAACAGCGCAAAGCAACAGTTTTATGCAGACACCCTGACAGTAAATTCTTAGCTTCACACACATGGCTCAACATGTTACTCAAATTATTATTTTCATCAAATGATATTACGATCAACACAAACATCAAACACAGTGAACCTTGCGAGTAAATTGTAATTGTTCTGGTGTTATTTTTTTTGCCTTGGTTTAGAATTTTTGGTTTTTGTTTAATTCATTTCGTAATACCTTCAGACATCTTCATTACACATATTCCTTGCGGGGCAAATTACCAATAAAAGCGGAACAAATTTTCTAATCAGTTCACAACTTGCCTAACGATCTTTTGGCCAGTGTATATTTATAAAAGGGGCTGAATGAAAAGCTGCCACAGACTGCAGCAGGTTAAACTCCACCAAGGTGCCCCCCCCCTATGTTCTTGACTGTCCTCGATTTTCAAGATCTTTGACCTGAAAAGGGAAAAAGAAACATTTTAAAAAAGTTTCCATTGAAAACGACAGATATCACAATATTCTAAAATTATCCTGTTTATATTCGTCAGTTGTCCAACCTCCCATGTTTAAAAAAAAATGCTGCTGTTAGTTAGGCAAGTTTTCAGAGGCCTGATTCGCGGTGTGTCTGAATGGAGACTTTTGCCATGTGTGGTTGAACAAATAAACTTGACTTAAACAGATTCTTGGATCTTTCGGTCAAGTCACGTAGAAAGAAAGTCACACCGAAAGATCCAAGAATATGAATCCCTGCAGTCACGAAAGCTTTAAATCGAAATTTAACTTAAACTTGACTGAGATTTTATGCATTTCTATAGATATTGGTAGAGCATTAAGCCCCAACGCCATGCAAAAAAAACACGTTATAGGCTGCAGTGCAGCACGATCAATTGGTTGTACTGTACTTCTATGCCCCCACGTTTATGCTCCCGACTTTCACCAACCTGCACTGACCAGCAGTGGATGGACATCAGGGCCGTGGTGCATGAGCGTATCGACGAATTACAATGTTTTGGTGCTATAACACGAAATGGAACCTTTCGACGTTCTTATCAGGCTGTCAGTAGGCGTTTTAAGTGGGTTTGGCAAACAAAGAGAGGCTCTCGCGTTCAGGTGCGAGTAAAACCAGGGCGTGACATCCCCCAGTGAAATGTAAACGACATGTAGGTAGCAATAACAGGAGGCAAGGGAAGCACTTGTAAAGATACGGCAAGTCAGCCATTACCACGCCAAACAATAATAAAGTCTGTGCGTGTGAATTTAAAACATGACCTAACACATGAATTCAATATGTACAGGTACATCCCCCTACTACTGTATAGGTTTCGCCAGTTTAACACGTAGGCTTTCGCGAACCAATATTATCCAGTTTTTTTAGGTTGGATCGCATAAAAGTTTTTACAGTTGCGCTGTCCAACTCCAGTTTTGTACACCAGCCAACACGGTGGTACAAGCCCAAAAACACACCGGAGGAACTGATAATTGTGTCAATCCACAACTGGATGAGGGACTCGCCATGCTGTGCGAGTAGGCAGAGTTTCATTCATCTACGTTTCATCTCGCTAGTCAAGGTAGGCTGAGCATAGATGTGGAAGAGTAAGAGGACGGTAAGACAACAGATTTTTCTGCGTCACCCTCTGCTCCCCACAACGTAGCAACAACGGCACTTACTGCCTACGACAATTTGTTTGTGCATTGGCAGTCGCCGCCTTCAGCACTCTCTCCAGGCTTAAAAGCCCTGCTTAGCAGCCCTGCTTAGCTTCTGGTGAGATCGGGCACATTCGGGGCGGTTTGGTTATTGGCAAATATTTTAACGAGTGTAGAGAAACGATCACACCCGTGTATATATACCACACAGATTCATAAGTTGGCGAGTATTTAGACATCCAATAAGGAGACCTTATTCATGCAAGCCCAGCTGGTTTATTAAGTGATTGCCTGCATCATTGATTGCAAGATTTAATTGGGGGAGGGGGGGCGGGATATGGGCAGGACAGGGGGAGAGACGTAAACAATGCACTGCTTTTATAATCTGCTTGAGGCTCAATTTATCAGCATGCTGGACTGAATCCATGTTTGACCCCACTCCTGATAATTAATTTTGAAACATTATGTTCAACACTTACTTCGTGCATGTGCATGTAAAGTATCCCATAAAATAGGTCAATGTAGGCTGTGTCATGCCAAAATGTAATGAATTGCTCACAAATTCACAAGGTGTCATTCTTTTAACGACGGCTGGAATAGCTCACTATGTGAAGCAGTCAGCGCCACAGTTATCAGACTAATTTGACACCCGGTCCTATTTAATCCACAAACTTTTCAAGGTCAGATTATTAAGTGTCACCTGACAAATATGCACGAAATTCTAGATTTGAAGCTTTCGTGACTGTAAGGATTCACTCAGGTTTTTTCGGTAAAGTCACGTAGGTGAAACAATTCATAAATTAAAATAATAAAAGAATTTTTTTTTCATTTACTTTATTCATTGTTTTTCCTACGTGACTTTACCGAAAAAACCAAAGAGTATGCACGAAATTATTCACAACGCCATCAATTTGGGGTCACAACATACTATTAACAAAATAAAAATGTAGTTACATTTTTAGCGTCCAATTGAGTGTTATTAATTTTTCTTCTGCTTCTTTTGTAGCTTCATTCATGCCATTGGCATATATATAAAATGAGCATTGAATCTGAATATCATAATAGATTCTTACACACGCGATTTATTGCATGTATCAGTGGATCACTGGCAAATCCAGGTGGGCCAAGTGATTCGAAGCCACAGTGATGAAGAGAGGTACACACTCGATTGTGGTGTTTTGGGTGCCGAAATATCTTTCCAGGTCACGCCGCTGCAGACTGACCTGGCTGAAAACTAAGGCCAGAGTTTAACTGATTTTAATTATAATAATAATAGTTCAATTTGTAACGCGCGCAAATTTGCAGACGTAGTGGCCGCAACTCAGAGGCGCGGAGCCAAGCTCAGAGTCTCTCGAAAGCATGATTGTAGAGGTGAGTTTTTAAGTCTCTCTTGAAGGAGGCGATTGACGTGATGCTGCGAATGTGCAGAGGGATATCGTTCCAGACTGTTGGGGCTGCCACCGAGAAGCGGCGCATAGACGTGACTATCCTGGATCTTGACGAGTCGATGCATCAGAAAAGCCAACAAACGCCGAGCACCGCCCATATTTGACCACCTTAACACTTGCCACCACGGAACCATCCCAACATTGAAGACGACCTGCGAATGTAGCCGCATCCAGTTCAAAATTGCACTGAAGCAGCGATTTGGCGAGGCGGTGACCGGGGGGGGGAGTGATAAGCAGCGGCGCATGTGTCCGTCACCTTGTAGATGCGCACGAGCCAGTGCTCCGTCGTGTACGCCTCCTCCAGCACGTCCAGCTCAAAGTCCTTGTTGCCGATCTCCACGTTGCGCACGCGGTCGTAGCCGGGCGGGCGCTCTGCCACCGCCACCACAACACAGACACAAGCAATGCGCTCGTTACACTTTCACGGCTCCGGCTAACGGGCAGTGTTAAATTTTCGATTTAAAGCTTTTGTGACTGCAGGGATTCATCTTCTTGGTTCTTTCGTTTAAGGCACATAGAATGGAAATAATAAAATAATAAAAATAAAACATTATAAAATAATTCTCACGACGTTTCGGCCACAACGCAAGCAGCCATCCCTCAGGTGAAGAACAGGTCTGTCGAGAAGACAGACCTCTCGACAGACCTGTTCTTCACCTGAGGACGGCTGCTTGCGTTGTGGCCGAAACGTCGTGAAGGCCCTTCTGCCAGCATTGGTGGGACAGATTCTTATGCAACTGGATCACAGGCATCCTTGTTTCAGGGATTAAATTCAGGGTAAATATTATTGTTTACGATTAAACAGCTGCTTCCATAAACAGTAGGAGCCTTCTCAGATAGTAAGATTTTTTCCAAGCTTTCAGTTCAGTACAATGGCTGCCATGCTTAACATTGGTATTCAGCTCACATCTTATAGATATGAAACTAGGCTACACATCCCACGCTGTGCATCCAATACGAGTTTGAATCTTCATTCGACAGATAAACACTTGAACGTCCTCCAGAAACATCACCATAGCGCTGCAGTAACATTGAAGGGCACAAAAGCCACAGACATTCTTGAGCACTCTTGTAAGCCACTTAAGTTTTTTTTCCATTACCAAAGCTCAAAATTCTCATTTGCCCACGATACACGACCTTGGTGTGTGGCTACAAGATATAAAGAGCAATTTTTTGTGGTATTATTGTGCAGTACTGTCCCTATGACATTGGCCATCCACCGTCAAGTCAACAGAGAGAATCCGCTCGCCCCCCGGAAGGCCACTTACTGGCTTCGGTGTAGACCTGCCCGAAGCGGTAGTAGCACATCTTGTACATGAGGCAGTTGAGCAGCACGGGGGATCCCTCGCGATCGACGCGGAACTCTCCGGCCGGCGTGTAGTAGTCGTGCTCCTTGATGTGTTTCCCCGTGTCCGTGCTGCCGCCAATGCGAACCATCCACAGGAACTTGTTGATGTCTGTGGCCCGCCGGAGGAAAAAAAACGACGCGGCGTGGATTAACGGCGGCGTCTCAAGACGCTGTGCACAAACAGTGGGCGAGTGTTTATATTACCGTGCAGGGGTGGTGGACTTGCAGCTCACCGGCACCACGAGGCTCCCGAGGCATTTCAACGGTGGCTCACTGGAGGTGCAACTAATTTGTGTCTTCGGTAAAGTCCCGTAGGTAAAAATATAAATAAAATAATAATAAATGAAAATAAATCAATTAAATCACGACGTTTCGGAGGCAACACAAGCTTTCTTCATCAGGTGTAAAAAGGCACAGCAAAATAACTGTAGTGTTATTTACTGTAGTGTTATTTACTGTTATTTTGCTGTGCCTTTTTACACCTGATGAAGGAAGCTTGTGTTGCCTCCGTAACGTCGTGATTTATTATTTTATTTTCATTTATTATTATTTTTTTACCTACGTGACTTTACCAAAAAAACATCAAAGTATGAATCCTTGCAGTCACGAAAGCTTCAAATCTAGAATTAATTGGCGTCTCTTCAACAAAAATATTTAATTAAGATGAAAAATCAGCACTTGCTCCTGGCAAGTGGAGCCAGACATGAGGACTCGCGGACTATTCACTCAGAATTCTCAATACAATGCTCAACCACCCAGTGCGCGCAAGTCGGCTGTGTAGCTACCCCCCACTTTGACACGTGTGTGTCTGGTGGTTCGTGGCTACGTTCCTTCGGAGTGGGCTGGTAGGAACTTGGTTGGACAGCGCATTCGTGCGAACCGTGTCACGCGGCGCAAGCTGCGTGGGGCGGCGCGTCACGTGGTGCTGAGCCCGCTCGAAGCGCTCTATGAATTACAAATCGAGGGTGTGGCTATGCACGACAGACAGACACATAATCCCTGGTGGGCAGTGTGGAACTGTTGTTCCTACCTGTATCAATATTTTTGTCTGTGGCTTGGGGATCAGGAAGTTTGCCCACCACTGATATAGACAGCCTCCCCATCATTAATCAGCATTGATCATTCCAAAAACGTTTCTTTTCCAACATTTTACAAACTGACAATGGAAATATTCCTTGGGGGTGAAGCAGTGGGTGGTTATGGTAATGTGCTCCAGAACTTGAATCCCGTCTTTGGCTAACATTATAGGAAAGTTATATCTGAACCAGTTACATGTATGTCCCCTTCACTAAAGTGAAATAGAGTCAAGTAACCCCTCAAACTGAAGGGTATTATCACATTTATTACACTGCCAATGTTGATTAGTACTGGGAGGGTGTGCCATTTCAAAACGTTAAGTGTTTGTGTTTTATAACAAGTTAAACGTGGACGGAAGAAAGAGTGAGTGCAACAATCAGCTTTTGTCACGTGAACCTATGAAGTTGAGAGTAATGCAAGCTCATACCATCAGAAGAGTAACCGGTCAGCCCTCCGAATATCACCAGCACGTAGCCCACGTCCAACTCCCGCATGATCTCATAGGCCTTTTCCTCCGTCGATGACATGGCCTAACCGAAAACACGGGCACAACCAAACGTTTCAAAATGCTAAAGAAGATTGGCGCGTTAAGTTAAAATGACACCAGTGTGTCAGCGCTCGGCCTCGTTTAGCACTGCCAACCACAGACTTGCATGGTCTTAGATTATACCGCAATCGGCAAGAAAGCGACTGATCCCATTGTATTTTGAGTAGCCGTGCTCCTAGACATGCCAAAGCACTGTAAATGATATGAAGGGACGCTGCCGTGGTGTGATGGTCAGCACAACGGACTTGAAAATCAAAGGTGGCCACAGTTCCATCTTCCGATGTGGCATTTAGGCAAGTTTCTTAAATCTTCCCCAGCGGTATAAAAGGGTACACTGAGTGGTGCGGCAGGTCGCATGTGGCGGGGTAAAGAGTGAGCACTCCGACCTCTTCAAAGACATCTGGCTGTGTGGAGGAGTAGGTCAAATTGCAACATTATAAAGGATTTTTAGAGCCAATGACAATTACATCGCTGTAAATTATATCTAGGGATGCTTGTCATGTATTCTAAATTGAAAACTAATTTTCTCAATTGAAAACTCATTTTTAGAACTGATTTTTGTGTTTCGTTTGTAGTCCTAACCCCGCACACTCCGATGAGTACGGTTGGTTACATACCGGTGCGGCGAAAAGAGTTCAACATACATACACACATGCGTACGTATCTGCGTGTAATGCAAGCACACAAGGACCAGCGATCGGGTGTTTACCTGACCGACGCGGGAGATGTGCGTGTTGTTCCATGTGTTGTTGTCCACCAATATTGTTCGATTGGCCATGGCTGTTATCTGATAGCCGTAATCCCACCATGACATCACCTTCGCATCCTGGATGGTCCCAAGGCCCAAAAAATAAATCAAACAACTCGTTATTTTCTTGCTTCACCCCGTCGGCATCAAGTCATGTGATTACGCATCCATGAGGTTATAAACTCCTAAAAGGCAGTTTAACGCGTGAAGAGACTGCCCTGCCACAGAACATCTTACAGAACTACTCCTAAAACCCATGCAAGTGACATTTTACACTTTCACGCACACACCCTGCTACACAGAACATTTTGTTGTAGTGGCACCCAAAACTAGACATTTTTTTTTCATTCTCAGAGCTGGGAATTTAGTCAAATTAAATTACACAACTCAAACATAATGTGATGAGGTTGTTTTGTGCAGTCACTGGTGCCCACAGTGAGACAAACAACGAACTCTACTGAACCTAGTTACTCAAGAATCAAAGTCCTGAACCACCCGGTCACCTCTAAAAATGTTACATTTTAATGGCTCAACATCAGCGGTATTTCAACAATATCTGTAGCTCAGGTTGAGGGATAATCTGGAATTTAGTTCAACTGGGTTCATCCGGCCCATAAAAATGTCCGTACCCAGCACACCACGTAAAGAAATCTCTCTCGCTACAGCTGTGGCTACTTAAATTACGCGTCACCAACGACCCGGAAAACATTCAGCGAGAAATAAAGTCGTGGGGAGAAGGAGGTCACACACCTCGGGCGTGTTGTGTCTCAGCCAATAGTACGCCTCGCGGAAGTCGTCGAAAATGATGCGGCTGCCGTCGCCGCCGCGAGCCGACAGAACGATGGAGGGCGAGGAGTACGCCTCGCTCGTCACCCACGTCGAGTGGAACGTGTACGTGATGAGGAAGAACGACATGAGCAGCACCATGCCACTAGCCACCTGCGGTGGGGGCGACAAGAGACAAAGATCTACCGTGTAACCTTTAACGGACTGCTGGGGCCAGAGCGGCCGACGCAGAGCGCGAGGGAGTGGTGTGGCAAGCATCACGGCCGTTCTCCAGTGCCGACGTTTACACACGGCATCAGGTACTCATTTAAGGCTGAGTCCAAGGGAAGAAGTAGGATGCTTAAAGGATTTTAAATAGTGAGGGCATATTGAATTAGTTGGTATCAGCCTAATTGTTGTCCTTCCCCTACACCTCCGATTAGCACGGTTGGCTATGTGCAGTGCGAAAGAAGTTCAACATACATACCATTACGAATTACTAAAAAATACTTTTCCACTTAATTTGGCCTTGCACTTGCAGCCCTTTGTCAATCCACTGCTGGATGAAGGCCTCCCCTTGCCGTGTTGATCATGGGGGTTTGTACGACCATATTTTACCACTCTGGTCAGTGTGGGTCTGTGAAGGTGTTGGGGGGAAGGGCACGGATGTTAACCATGACCAGGAATCAAATCCATGTTTCTGGTTTAATAGTACCAAGGGAAATTAACTGCACCACATTTTTCACCAGTGTTATACGTATAACAATCTAAAATTCAAGTAGGATTTCGGCAGTGCTGGCTCAATTCCCAACACAAACATCAACTCACGAGGCCCCCCGGGGCCATGCCAAATCACCTCGTTCTTGATGGGGTAGGAGGCATCGTGGGTCTTCTTGCTCTTCTTGTCAGGCCGCGAGATGTCCAGGTTGCGCATGTAGGTGGTGAGCACGTGAGACACGCCAATCCCCGACAAGATGCACATGACGGGCGCCAGCACCAGCATAAGACGCACCTGTGGCGCAAAGCCATACACAGCAACAGCGGTAAATTAGTTCACATTTAAGCACTTAAGTTTCAAGCCGTCCTTTCATTCCATACGCATCGAATGTAGCATTCATCACGAACATAACAGATTTTCTTAGTTTTACTTCATAACACTTCTCTCCCCCATCTTTCCATTTGCCTCCTTATCACCATTCTATCACTCCTGCCCTGGTTACTGTTCCCACGAAATTTACTCAAGGATTCCTCCACCCACCTTGAGGAATCGGGTCCACTCGACTATAGAGGCTCATCCATACTGTGTTGAACCACCATATTACAGGCCAACATTCTCTTTCTACCAATGAGTGCACAATAAGAGTGAATCGGTGAGCTCTGGTTCAGTAAACCAGACTCCGTTGAGGTAGGAACTGGGCTGGCCCAGCTCAGATATGAGAGGGGTGCACCCAGACTGATTGGGCTTATGTTACCTCAGTGGTGATTGAGAGTGAAGTCTATTCACGTTGGGCAGAAAAAAAGTCTATTAACCTTCAGCTCATGATTTGAAGGAGCATGATTTATGAAGCATACCGTCACCTGAAAAGTGGTGGATCATATCGTGAGTGGAAGAAAGTAATGTGAGAGGAAACTGGAGTAAGTGCCAGAGACAAATGGAAGAATGTATTTCTGGCCACCTGACAGGTCAAGCATTCAACTTCCGGTAGCTTCCAAGATTTGACGACACACGACGCATTCAGGGTGATGCGATTACAGGCACGCATTTCACCATCTCTACAGGGCACGATGCAGCATCAAGTGCACACAAAACCCAAGATAGAGGACGAATGGACCATGGTGGTGACGACGGTGATTTTTGTTGCCACCGTGCATGGCTGGTGTCACCATGGTGGTGGGGGGGGGGATGTGCTCTGTTACTGACGGGAGCCTCCCCCAACTCACCATGACCGCTGAGAAGTACATGCTGGTGACGCCGTAGAGGATGATGAAGATGCGAGCGTCATTCAGGTTGCAGAAGCAGTAGTAAAGCCCGACTGGGGAGAGCAGTGGAGAAAAATAAAAAACTAATTAATAATAAAGCAACCACGGGGGGGGGGGGGGGGGTGGGGGGAGAAAACTTGTTCAGAGATCACGTGGCCAGTTCTAGGACTTGGGATGTACACCTTAAACACTTTATAGTCATGGACAATCATTTAAATATTAAGTGGGATTTACTTACGCATTGTATGTTAACCAATTAGGGCTGTAATTCATATATAAATACTCTGTCCATCTCTCTTGATGAGGAATGGTCATAAAATACCAAGGTGTCAGTCGTGCTCATACAAGCTATTTCATCTGCGCTAGGAACACCACCCATCTCCGTTGTTCCCTCGCATTCACACAGACGACACAAGTTGTGAATTTGAATGTTTGATACGATAGCTTAAGAGAGAGAAAAAAAACGGGTACCAGGAAACATGAAAACGAGGAGCTGCAGGTCGAAGTAGTAAGAGGACCACGTGGTGGGCTGGTGCTCGGACACGGAGGCGATGATGGGGATGTTGTTCTTGGCGTAGGACGGGTCGAGCAGGGAGTAGAAGCGCCCAGTCCACGGAGAGATCTTACCTGCGCCACCAAAGACTGGCCATGTGTCACTGCTGTGCACGGTTGTATTTTTCCCAATTATAAATTTCTAGCCGGAACACTTATGGTTGTTGTTGTTTGACTTGCATCCCACTGAGATTTTTGCACACAGCGTTGGTGTACGGTGTTTTTTTCTGCAATATTTTGCTGTCTTTTCTTGTATTTTCTGTTTGCACTTAGTCACATATTCACTTTAATATGTTTTTTGTTCATGTTTTTGTTTTTTTTTGTTGCGGTTGCACCCGATTCAAAGGCCGAATGGCTCACAGGGCTATACCTAATAAAAGAACTTGAAATTAATGAACTTGAACTCAAAGAAAGCAGCCTGTATAAAGTGATACTATAGAACTACATCTGAGAAAGCTTCACTTGCCTCTTATTAAGATGAAGGACACCGCACATTTTCCTGCTATGAACTAGATTGCCATATGGCAATCGAACCAACATGTTTAAATCTCAGACCTGGGATATGTTTCATTAAATATAAAATCTCACACCTGGATAAATGCAGTGATTTGCTTTACCAACTTTCAAGAATTTTCCGATTGGCAATTGGGCTTCAACATGGACACCAAGTGACCTCCTCTTACAAATCATAACAGAGACTCCTCAACTTCCACTTCAACTCGCTTCTCTTCACCATTTTACTGTATAGTGAGTAATCACAACCTCAATGCTTTTCCTTGGTGTGCCCTCACATTTACAATACGATTCGTCAACCATTGCCTGCCTTCTTTTTTCTTTCCGCTTTGCCAAATGTCAACGGAATCCTCCACGTTTCCCCGCCCCGTCACGCCTACCTACACGTTCAAAACGGTTTGCGTTTCCGTACCTCTATCATGGCTGCGTACAGTCCTAGCTGTTCCCACCGTGACCGCTCTCTGAGAAATCCGAAAGCGTGGCCGCTCTTACCGGTCAGCATGAGAAGGGTGCCGGCAACGCCAACCACGGCCCCCACGAGCGAGATCATGCTCTTGAAGAGAATCTCAAAATTCTGCGGGCTCAACTTGCTCCGCAGGTAGTCCACAAAGGAGTAGACCTGGCACAGGCCAAACACCCCCAGGGCCGCCATGTGCTCCGAAGACTGCACCGGCTGCAAAAAAGTGGGAAATTTAATTCACAACATCGTGAAGCATCGCAAGCGTACAGGAAGAAGGACTTCAACTGAGTAAGTAAAAAAAACAAATCCCCAACTTGTATACCGAACGTGCGATTGTAATCATGTCAGGAGACAAAGTAACCATTCGCATCTCTCGCAGAGCATGCAACCATTCGTGTTAGAGATCGAAAGAGATGGGTTTTACACAAATTAGTGCAGAATCAAATTTAATGATGTTTTTATTAATGCAGAATCTGGTTTTAATGAGATGAGGTTTCTTGGATTCGAACCCAGGATCTCCGCAGTTCCAGCTCAGCACCTTTGACCTCTGAGCCACTTGCCCAACTAAGTTGAATAACAAGGGAGTGCCCAACTCGAGCAGAAGAACAGAAATACTCAAGTAAATCATTAAAACGCTTTCACATTTAGCTCGGAAACTCATACAATTTTAACATTAATGAACATTTCCCATAATCGAGGAAATGGCGCAATATTTCTGCAGAACATCATTTGACCGAGTTAATAAGACAAACCCTGAACCCAGAAGTCAGCAAAGCTAGTCTGTTCAGTCGTCGTCCGCCAAAGAAAATAAAACCGTTATCAGGTCTAAGAATTGCACGTTTACCTGGAAGCCTACGAAGGAAATCTGCATAGAGAGGATGGTGCCCAGGCAGTATACGGTGCTGTAGGCCACGTAGATGCGGTGCGAGAAACGGCCCGTGATCATCAGGGCGAGCACGTGCAGGGGGATCAAGTTGATGAGGAACACGTAGCCTCCCCACGATGACACCTGCGAGCCCAGACGCAGCGCGCGCGGGTCGTGATGAACCGCGAGCCGACAATGGTTGCCGCCAGGCACGTGATGATGCGTCATCTCAAAGGAATGTAAAGCGATTGTTACGTTGGTGGTGAACACATGAAATAATGTGGTTTCGGTTCGATTCATATATGTTGTATATGATGGGTTCGCAAGAATCCTATAGCGACATTCACCGCAATTATAAAAATATTAAGATTCTTTGCCTCGCCACACACAAGCATCTTCAACAACTCACAAGCAACTTTAATAAACACAATCGCAAGTTGACGTAAGATGATGAACTTGTAAAGAGTGAACACATCTTAGTTTGGCTCGCATACGGTGTGAAAGAAGTTCAACATACGTACATATAGTGCATTGGCCAGTTTAATTCAAATGCAAGAACAAATCATTCACGCGCATGGTTAAACAATGCTTTCCAACGTGCATTAGTCCTCAGAAGTATTCAATAGCAATAACGGTCACGCAGGAAGCAGTCGGTTTGCAGGTTGTGATGAGACCACGGGGCTCAGATGGCAGCACTGCCCGGGGGAGGGTGAAACTTGGCTGGCAGGGCCAGGATGGAAAGATAGGCCCTTTTAGCGCTGGTTTATTGTATCCACGTATTGGGTAAGCATTTGCTCCAGTTTTTAGGAGTCTAAATCTTGAACAGCAACACAACATTACACAAGCGTGTGCTTCATATGGGATCATCTTTAAACAAGCTATTGTGTCCCTCCTGTACAAATGGATGGACTGACGAGGATAATATACAAACGTTTTAAAAATGAGTTGGAAAGTGTTAATGAGCATTAACACATTATGGGCCAACTGCCCAGCTTACCATGTAGAAGTAGGCCAGCGCACACATAGCAGGACCAGTAGAGCAGGCCAGTCTTCACAGCCTTGATCCACATATAGTAGGTGAAGAGCATGCAGAATATGGCGATCCCTGCAAGCAGAATAGTAGCAAAGCCATTCCCACAAAAAAACTTGTAAGTGGCGCACCAAGGTAATCAAAAATTATTTCACCACAAGGTGCTCGAGACTGCCCGCAACTTGACTCCACAACCACTTTTTTCACAAACATTACAATTGTGATCATTGGCGCTAGGAGATTAGAGAGACATTTTCACTATGAGACCTCCTTTACCAGTGGCAAAATATAGTAATAGGTTTGTACCCTTTCAACTGGAACAAAAACTGACACCTTTATACAAGACATCATGTTTGCAATAACCACAACACAAGCAGTCAAAATGCAAACCAAAATAAACAACTCTGATGATGATAATGATATGCACTGTCCTTAAAGTTGATTGGTCCACACCCGAGACAGCTTTTCTTAGAGCCTAGTCTCCAATGGTGTTGGACCAGATGACGCCAAAAGGCGTACAACTCAAAGACAGCGCACTATCAGAGTATTGAGAGCTCGGGGTAAGTATTTCGGGTGTGGACCAATCAACTTGAAGGACAGTGCATATCATTATCATCATCAGAGTTGTTTCTTTTTGTTTGCATTTTGACTGCTTGTGTTGTGGTTATTACAAACATGATGCCTTGTATAAAGGTGTCAGTTTTTGTACCAGTTGAAAGGGTACAAACCTATTACTAGAGACATTTTCCTTCGCAATTCTTGCAAGACAGCGCTGTATTCGACAATGGCCTCTGAAAAGGGATATCACGAATTACTTGAAATGTCAAGTGTTTCTTTTCACATGTACCTAGCTAAATATATGTTTGATAGCACAGTAGTCCCAGGGGGTTTGAAAATTTTAAAAATGAAGTGATTTTTAAACAATAATTATGCATGAAACTTTGTAAAAAAATTGGTGACCAAACTGAGGCCATCAACTCGGGTGGCTTAAACACAAATTGGAACTCAGCGGTGTAAACTCGCGCTCTGACCCAAGCCACCTGGTGTCCTTCCTACACAACGCTAACCCATTTATCTTTCTTAATGTTAATTTCAATGCGCACCTTCGTTATCGTACGAGCCAGCCACAGAGCGCGATATGTAGCCAGGCACAATGGCGATCATGGCAGCAGCCACCAGCCCAGCTCCAGCATCCTATACAATCACACAATCCACACTGGTATTAGGACTTCTTCCAACACTCACAGCCCTCAACTCTCCCAATTGCAGCTCCTGCTACCGTGAATATTTATACTGATTATCTTCGACATCACGGCTTTCCATTGTGCTGCATGAGCCACTTATGGAAAAGTAGTTATCATAGCTACCAGTAACAGGTTTACATCCCAGAGGGTTATAAGTGGCTTGTCCATTTGAATAACTATTTTGTTTTCAGAGTTTGAAAAGTGTGGTCAATAAAACAGAGTTCCCCTCTAGGATGATCATTATGAATGTTTATATATTTGGTAATGGTAACGACCAACGCAAACACTGAACGTAAAATATTAAAATACTTGTAAATATGCAGGGTATTTCCTGCAAGCAGTGTTTACAAGTGCGGAATAAACAAGTTTCCTTTCAAGTCATGCTCCATCACTTAAAAATGTGCTTTAAGGGTAATCAAACCCTTCCATATTTCAACATCCATTTACTTTGTATGGCTCAAGAGATTTGTTCAAAAAGGCTTTTTTTAAACCTGTAAATTGTGTTTAAATGGCTTAATTGTTGTATGTTACAGCAACACAAGATTACGGTTTTATTGTTGAGAATTTCGTCGAGTCCCGACCTTGAAAGGTGCTATTACAAATTAAAAGCCATTATTTTTTGCTCACCTTGAGCTCTTTGGTAAGGTGGTAGGTGAGAAGCGTGGTGAACGATGCGAAAAGCGGCGCCAGGAAGACGCAGACATTACGGATGTCGATGGTGACGTTCATAAAATGCAGCGCGTGGTAAAGCATGGCTGATGTCACCATAAGACCTGCGCACAACCATCAAACAAACCGGTAAAATTTCTGATGCTGCTGCTGCTGCTGCTGCGGGTTCCTTCTCATTGGTCAAGTGTCAATTGAAAAATGAAACAAGAGTGCAAGTTAAGTGCTGTACCTGGGTAAATGGTTCCGCCAATAATCCTGCCCAAAGGGTACCATGCTCGGTCATCAAACCAGTTGTGAAACTGATAGAAGCCCTCCTCAGTAAGGAAGCGGGTGGTGCGGTAGTTAAAGTATCTGCAGACAAAACAAAGGTTTTACTCGTTATTTCTGGTAGTAGTGCGAAAGAAGTTCAACATACATACATGTTGGTGATGTAAAATTAAGATTGCTTTACATGGTTTAAATTTTACTTTCTTTTCAAATACGTGCGATTTAGCCAATTATAAATTATTTGGAAATAAATACCCTTTTCCATAAATGTATTCCAGCTGTGCTATCGGAGTGATGTCGTGAGGTGAAGAATCCATTCAGAAATCTCACCGTGTCACAACTGTTTTTTCAAGTGATAGTAACATCTCATCCTGTGTTCTTTGGAATCCGGAAAAAAGTCACCTTGTTTCTCCAGTACACATTAGGGGTGCATTTTCCCATATTTTTAATTCTCAGAACTGGCATTGAGCCTGATCCAAGCAAAACCAATTTTGACTTTTTTTCACGCAGTTATTTGGTTACTGGGTTCAGACAAGCTCACTGCACTTGAGAATCCAGTGTTCATAAAAGGTGGATGGAAATGGAATTCAAGCCGAGGTTCCAAACAGTGCTAGCTCAGCACTGACACCTCTAAGGCATACATTTCTGAATGGAAACCAGTAAATGTTTGATTGCTGAAAGATGTATGAGTATTCAAGCAAACAGTATAAGAAAGGGACGAAATAATAACTTAAATATTAAGCACAAGTGACAGACATTGCATCACTTACGGATCAAACTCGTGAATGACGCTTTCAAACCTCAGTACTGAAAACAGTCTTGTTGAAAATGCTGCAAGATGAAACAAAATAAATATGTTCTCATTAAATGCATTCCTTCAATACATTTTATTCAGAAACCACAAAACCCGGGGCAGGCTAGTAACCACCTCTGCACAGACATGCAACATCAGTCCATGTAATCCTAAATGAAACATTCAATGTTACATTACTTAAAAGTAAAACAAACTTTTGACAACACCAATATCTTTACATATTTTTGTAATTAACATTCTCATCACCAACTGTAGCAAATACTGCTAATGCAGCAATGCAGAAATTACCGTAAAAAATTGGCAGAGGAAAAACTTTAATGAACTAAATACATTTTTTTGCTGAACGATCCGTAGCTACAAAATGATTTGCGCTTGCACACTTACAGAGGATGGCGGCCATGGACAGGATGAAAAGCTTGAGCAGCGTGTCCTGCTTCTCATAAGAGAGACGCAGAAATCCCAGTTTGGCTGTCATTTTTAAGCAGTTTCAGGGACAATACTGTATATACTCCAGTCCTGAAATGAAACAGGAAAAACGAGTTAAGTGTCAATCATGTCTAGCATGAAGAATCGGGAAAGTACTCCCACACAACATGAAACACCATGTAACTGTGCCTGTGTATGATAAAGCCAGTGGTCGAAACTAATGATGGAATAGCAGCCAAAGGACATTTACCACAGAGATGGAGCACTGAAATCGGCTCGTGTATCTATGTTGAACTTCCTTGGCACCGTACGTAGCCAAGCGTGCTAATGGATTGCTGAATTTCAGGACCATCAGGATAGATTGAGGAGGCCTCCATCCAGTGGTGGATTGATCACGGCTTATTATGACTGACAAACCTCGGAGCCGGACATGTGTATATTTTACTCACCGAGGCCCCACTTGTCTTTAGTTAAAGGTCGATAACGGTTCACCACTTGATTATTTCAAAGTGTCAATATTAATTCCACATAGACTGGAAAAATTTAATAATATTGAAGCAAAATAAAGCACTTCTGATGCTTGGGGTCAGATGCGCGCACACACATAGGATCCTGTAAATAATCGTGAGTCCATGATGCACACTGGTATAGCGTTATAACATCCTTTGTAAATCCACTGCTGGATGTGTACCGTACTCAGCATTGCCCGCTCCCCTCCCAGTCTGTATTCCTGTACCGACCTACTAGTTGAATGTGGTTTCCACCTGTCCGGATTTGTCCTGGACATTCTGCTAAATTAGTATCTGGGTTCAAATGGCAGCTGACTGATTTCTACCGAGGTCTGGTGGTTTGTTTGTGTTGAACTTTCATTGCAGCATACTGTACTTCTCAGTTCTGAGACCGAGGCTTAGCAATGCCGGAACTTGGTCTGCGAACAATTTTGCGTCCCTAGTGGTGCAGCATGGTCATTGTTGTTAAGGTATGATACAAAAAAAAACTCTTTGAATGTACAGTACAGGATATATTTGAAGACAGCTCAGTTTGTACAAAGGAGCTCTCAAGTTTGAAAGTCACAAGTTCAAATGTCGACCACGATGCACTCGGGCACATTCGCCACGCTGGGGTCAATTAACCAATTTGTTCATAGAAGTCAAACGTGTTCCCTTATCCGAAGCATCTCTACTTGTTCTCGCCACGGGAATAACTTTCACAAAGCAGTGCAGGGGAAAAAAATACATGACCAGTACATGAACTTTTAGTCAACATTAATCCTTAACTCTGACCCCGAGTAGCCACTACATCGGGTATTGCAATGAAGATTGACAATCAACCACAGGGTCCGAATAATAACTTGTGGTGTTGTACTTGGTCCCGACAGCGACGAGTAGCAGACGTGTTTGCTTAACACAAAGGTTATTTTCTCCATCCCTTTAGTCTAATCTCTTGGCCTTCCTGTGTGTGCGTGTGTGTACATGGCACTCCGTTTGTCAATCCTCTGCTGGACGAAGTCCTCTCCAAGCCGTGTGGATCTTGAGGAGTTATTTGACCAAATTGACCATGTCACCATGCTGGCAACGACGTGGGAGCAGTTTAGTAGAGGGCAATGTGGTGTTTGCTACACCGTCAGTGATGCCCACACCAACCTATTCAAGTACTCTACACATCCCCACGTCTCCCTGCATAAGCTTCCTTGAGGATACTTAATTACTTATATGTACTTTCTCCCCGAGTGCGTCTCTCTCCGTGTAGCTGAGCAATTGTCGGAAAGCACAAGGCTCCACGGCTCTAGATGACATACAGCACGGGCAATTGGATTTATTTTTTAAAAAAAACAATCACTGCTGCTTCGAAAGCAAACCTCGAGGCCGCCACGTCTGTAAGATCCCCCCACCACGCTCCCCACCGCGGGCAACCCGAATCGTGGAAATAAATCGAAGTTGAGTCTCGTTCCCGTTCTTTGCCCCTCCGGAGGTCGAAATAAGTTCGCGTTGAAGTGACGCGCGCCAGCAAAGTGGACGCAAGTGCGAGAAAGTGGACCTCAAAGCTGGACGCCACGATGCCCGTTGCCGACACGACGCTGCTGGTGTCACAGTGACGGGGGAATGAAAAATCCGCACGCACGAAGAGGCAGGAGGGAGACGGAACGGCCAAATCAGTCGGAGCGCATCAAGGACGCAGCTCGGGGCCTGCGAGCGGCGGCTTTGGTGTCGACGTGCTATCATCCAGACCATTGCCGCCAAGACGATGCTCATCGAGACGAAAGCCTCCCATCCTCCTCCCATCCTCCTCCTGTCTCTCTCGCTCTCCTCCACCCATTGATGACGACGACGGCGGCCTCAACAGCAGCGACGGCTTCGAGCCACAAAACAAACGAGGCCCTCTTCAAAAACCAACGCGCGTGGTCTCACCAAGACACCGATAACGCAACGCCAAAAAAAAACACTCACCGAGGCTTTGCACAGCGGTGTAGCCGCTGCTGCTGCTCCTACTGCGGCTGCTGCTGCTCTGCTGCTGCTCCCACTGTCGAGAGCGCACGGGAGGAGGGGGGCGGGGCGCCACGTTGACGCCGAGCCGCCGCGGGGGGAGGGGGGCGGGGGGGAACGACGGACGCGTTCGATTTGGTAGCGCGGATCGGCGGCTCGCGGCCAATCACGCGCGAGCACGACCGTCGTCACGTGACGCGGCGGCGAGCGGGCATGGCACGGGGCCTGGGCCCGGCTCGCCTAAGCGCGGTGGGAAATTCAAACTTCCGGGGCCTTTGCGAAAATCGTTATCGGCTGCTGCCTCTGCCGCCGTCTTCTCTACGCCCGGCAAAGAGAGAGGCAGCTGCGAGCAAGGCGGTGGTCGGGGGTGGGGTGGGTGCGCGGCTAAAGGCGTGAATGAATGAGGGAGAGAAAAAAAACAAATCCGTGCGTTTCTTTGCGAGTTTTTGCGAACGGATTCGCACTCGCGGTCGAAGGCGCGCGCGTGATTGGTTGACCCGCGCTGCGAGCCATCCAATCGGCGACGAGCACCGCTGTGCCACGTGATGGGGTCACAACGTGGAGGCCACGTGGCGCGTCGCGGAACCTCATTGGGCCCCATGCTCTTAGGTTTTTTAGGTAAAGTCACGTCGGTAAAAAATAAAATAAAAATTTACTAAAAGTAATAATAGAAATATAATAAATCACGACGTTTCGGAGGCAACACAAGTCTCCGTCATCAGGTGGGACCGTCACCGCTAGATTTGCTGTATCAAGTGAGGCAAAGATTCCAAGATACAAGTTCTTAAATACAAGTTAAGGAGGGAGGGAGGGAGGGGCTTATCTGAATGTGGTAGCCAATGAATGGAACGTATTGTTGCGGTTCCACCCGATTCAAGAGCCGAATGGCTCACAGGGCTATACCTAATAAATTAACTTGAACTTGAAAATAGAGTGAATGTGAAACTGTTGGTGCACCAGTTGGTGCACATGCTAGAAGAGAACGAAAATGCCCATGTTGTTTTTACCCAGTGTTGGTTGACAATCAAATACAAAAAGGAGAGTACTGTTAAACGCTGGGAATGTTAACACTCTGTAAAGTAAAATAGTGCCTGTCAAATAAGATAGTCCAAAGATGTGTAAAGTCACGTAGAAGGGAAGTAATAAAATAATAAAAATAAAACAATAAAATTATTCTCACGACATTTCGGCCAAGACGCTGTCTCCCCGACAGACCTGAGGACGGCTGCTTGCGTTGTGGACGAAACATCGTGAGAATTATTTTATTATGTTTTAATTTTATTATTTTATTTTGTTTTATTTTTATTATTTTATTACTTCCCTTCTACGTGACTTTACCGAAAGAACCAAGAAGATGAATCCCTGCAGTCACGAAAGCTTTAAATCGAAATCAAAGATGTGTAGTTAAATATTTTTTGCATGGTTAATTATTGGGCCCATTGGCCCCACCACGTACAGCCCTCAACGTGTTAACGATGCCCGTCGTTCGTTCATTAATCGTGTCCCGTTGGCCGCTTGTTGCAAGGGGTTGCGGTTCGATTTTCTCGCCGGCAGCCCCCGGTTAATACTGGCGGCGGGTGTAATAGCCATGGAGAGCTCGCCGATTGCCTTCACAGCCGTAGACGTTAAAGATCTCGTGACGTTATTTTTTTAAAATGGAGCACGCCAAGTTGACAATGTTGGCAAGTTTGATCAACTAGTTTTCAAGTTTCATTTATTAGCCCTGTGAGCCATTCGGCTCTTGAATCGGGTGCAACCGCAACAAACAAAAAAACAAAAACATGAACAAGAAAACATCTTAAGGTGACTGTGCAAACAGAAAATCCAAGAAAAGACAGCAAAATATTGCAGAAAAAGCACCGTACACCAACACTGTGTGCAAAAATCCCAGTGGGATGCAAGTCAACTAGCTCCTGCGGAGGACTTCTCAGCGTTTCGCCCCCACTGATATCTTCTTCCTCCCCCACAATGTGTGCAGATACTACTACTGACTTGTATACAGGTTTTGTAAGTATATATTATCTATATATATAAAATCGCAAATTTGTCTGTCTGTGTGTCGCCGGACCATACGCAGTTTCATTGGACGAAATGTGAGGGATTTGCGAGACACGATTGGTCCGGCAGTTGCCCCTGGCAACGGGTAGCGACGCATTCGCTGCGGGGTGGACGCCATTTTTAATTCCCGTTAAAAATATGCGCACGCATTAACACGCGACTCTGAGGTAAATTCATCAAAGTTACACGTCCTCTTCACTCCCCCCCCCCCACCACAATGTGTGCAATTACTATTATAGGGTCGGTAAATAATAAAATTATAGCGATTAGACAGTATTATTGTAGCGCGGGGGGGGGGGGGGTGACGGGCTCAGTACCCAGCCTCAGCCGGATGGGCAATTTAGGCGAGGCCGGAGGCTCTGCACGGTACTAGGCCTCGACACCCCACCACACTATAGGCCGTACATATTACTGCACAGCGGCCGAGGAGATCGTGGCTGGGGGGGGGCAGGGGTAGCAGCCCATCTGTGTATATATGTAAGGTTATTAAGAAATATATTTTTCACCCGGGCAACGCCAGGTACTTATGCTAGTATGCCTACAAAAAATTTGGCTGGGGGGGAGTGAAATAAACATTGGGAGGGGTCGACAATTTTGGGAAACCTGTTACGTCAACTTTGTATCCCCACATCAGGGGGGAGGTGTCCACTTTTTATAACTTTTTGATTCAGGGCTTCTGAAAGGCTGTTATCCTTTATTTGACGGACAAACGGAACGTCGGGCTTTTATAATAGACGAGTTTTTTTGCCCGTCCAAGGACGGGTGTATATTGCAATAAATCAGAAATATTCAATAAAAAATTGTTCAGCTCATTATTATTAATGAGGGGGGGGGAGGGGTTGCCCCATGTGGAGTGACGTCACCCGCTAATGGTTATTGTGGAGTTGGTGCGGCATGTGGAGTGACGTCACCCACTCATGGTTATTGTGAAGGGGTGCGGCATGTGGAGTGACGTCACCCGCTCATAATTAATAATGATAGGAGGGGTGCGGCATGTGGAGTCCGCGATCTTGCATCCGTGTAAATTTCGACGCGAGTATGAATATTAATGAGGGGGCGGACCTCTTTTGCAGTGACGTCACGCACGGATGTAGCACAGCTACGAAGATTCAGTTTTTTACCGTCACTTTCTATCAAGAAACGTCATTTGAAGCGACTGCGTAATAAATTAATTCAGCTCGACCTTTCTCTGCGTTAGTGTAAAAATCCACCGACTCATGAATATTAATGAGGGGGGGGGGGTGGGCCTCATGTGGAGTGACGTCACGTGGGGGGGTGGGCCTCGTGGAGTGACGTCACCTGGGGGGGGTGGGCCTCGTGGAGTGACGTCACGTGGGGGGGGCCTCATGTGGAGTGACGTCACGTGGGGGGGGTGGGCCTCATGTGGAGTGACTTCACGTGGGGGGGGGCCTCGTGGAGTGACGTCACACGCAGGACGGACAGACATTTTTGGGTGATTATGGGAGGTAATTTGACCAATGAGCTGCGTTACTCTTTTTCAGAAGCGACCTGGCCACAAATATCCCAACGAAGTGGCTTATCGCGTGGTCATTTATAGCAGTCAAATGCTCTACTCTAAACGCGTGATGTTGATTCAAAATGCGGAGGGAAAACCCCCCTGGAGACAAATCCACGAGTAGAACACACAAACTCCAAATCTACAGCAGCAGCAGCAGGCGTCAGTGTGGGGATGGAACCCACGACCCCCTGCACACCAGGCGACGTAGTTGACGTCTCGCCACCCACGCTGCACAGCGCGGGACACCTTTATTCGTTTATTTTCAGCAGTTTACAATTCACGATTATAAATAATTAGTGACACGCACTCGCGATAATGCGAGGGACAAAGGGGCCACCCATAAATGACGTCACGCACCTAGGGACGATGTGTGACAAGGGGGGGGGCAGGTGAGAAATGTGACGTCACATCAAAATGCGCAACTTTTAATGAATATAGACAACACGTTCTACTTAATTAAATAGACGTTTTAATAAATGTTTCCTCCTACAACATCAGAGTGCAGCGCCACATTACATACGCACTACAATGATAATAGTTTAAAGCGATTTGAAGCATGTTTTATTTTTTGGGGGGGGGGGGGGGCAGAGCTTTGTGACGTCATATTTGGGGGGGGGTCTGACTTTTAGTGACGACGGGGGGGGGGTCAAAAATCGTCCAAAATCGCGTGACGTCATTTATGGACGGCCCCAAAGCGAACCACCACTTTACCCCCAAATATCGAAGTCAAAACTCCGCCGATGAGTAGCGTAGCCCCAGCTCGCCTCGAGCGAGATGCGTGCTGAGCGCTCGAGACTCGGGCGGTCGGGGAACGGCGCGGGTTGCCCGGTCGAATACACGGCCAGTGTCAGATTCACCTAGTAGCAAAATTAGCTCCATATGTAGTAGTAGCTACTACACATGTGTAGCAGCTACATGTGTAGTAGCTACTACACGTGTCGTAGTAGCTACGGGCCCCGCACTTTCAAGGGCTCCGCGCTAAATGCTTTCGAGCTATCAATTCCGGTTCAGTGATTCTGCACTTGCTCTATTACTATACCGCCTTCAACTTTTATGAACGACTGGGTGTTTAAGATTAGCGATTTGTCGTATTATCCGGCTGTATAGCGAATTAAAAAAATACAATTACTTTACTAATTTGTGTGTTTTTATATTTATGTTTTATTTTATTTAGGACCCCTTTATAACATCACAATGCTACAGGCCCCGCAACTAACTTAGTCCAGCACTGTGCACGGCGTCTGGTAGCCGCAGATGGCCCCGAACACCCCCCAAAGCTGCTTCACTCGTGGCCAGAGGAGCGTTCTTCCGTCGACCTTGCCTTGGACTCGGCAGTTACCCCAAGGTTCAAGTTCAAGTTCATGTATTAGGTATAGCCCTGTGAGCCATTCGGCTCTTGAATCGGGTGCAACCGCAACAAACAAAAAAAACATGAACAAAAAACATCTTAAAGTGACTATGTGACTAAGTGCAAACATAAAATCCAAGAAAAGACAAGGTAAGTCACCTTGGGGTAACTGCCGAGTCCAGAGCAACGTAACCCGTCAACTATAATTCAGCCACACCGAGCGCATTGTTTGTGCACAAATGCGACCCCTTCATGTATCCGCCTATACCTCGATACCCACTGCTGGGTGCGTGAACTGTTTAGGTTTTTCGACCATACTTCATGTTGGCAATGCCTCAAGGCTCTGTAAAATTCAACGCACTCGCTCGCCATAATAGTCCTGTGTAACGTGGCTCTTCCCACTGCCTGGCTTTTTGTTGCAATTGTGAGATGGAAATTAAATCATGTCAGCCGTTGCCACGTGTAGTTTCACCCAACGTCTACTCCAGTACTTAGTGAATTGTCACAAATACGTCATGATTTCACTCACAAATTGCCCTTGAATTGCATTTATAATCTATACCAGATTTCGATTTAAAGCTTTCGTGACTGCAGGGATTCATCTTCTTGGTTCTTTCGGTAAAGTCACGTAGAAGGGAAGAAAACATAAAAAAATAGAAAAAAAATATTGTTTTATAATGTTTTATTTTTATTTTATTTCCCTTCTACGTGACTTTACCGAAATAACCAAGAAGATGAATCTATACCAGCTGCAGGATTTCCATTAACAAACAGCAACACACACACATCAGAGAATCAGAATGTCTCGACTCCGGTGTGGTTTTTTTTCTGCAGTGGAGGGGAATTGCTGACAAAGATATCACACAGTCCATGTGCGAGAGCGTTATAAGCGGTTGATTGATGGTAGTCTTAATGGATGGCAGTGAGAGGAACATTTCAGCGATTAATAATTAACCAGCAGCTGCTTTCCACAATTTCCACTTACAAGACAATTAGTTTTGTGTATAGAATGTCAGCATGATACAAATGATGCATCATCGTGGGCGGCATGCATAACTTTCATCGGCTCGTTCTTGTGCACAAATAGGTTTGCAATATGCTGTGCCAACCCTGCACATGATATCAATAAGGGACAGCTCCACTGCTGAATGAAGGTCTCTCATGCCGTATCCAGTCACGTGGCTGGTGTGACCATATTTTACCGTGGTCTGTGCCGGTAGATGACGGGGGCGTGGACCCAGGACCGGTTCAGATATTGCTCGCCACTGATGTTTCGCGTGGCAGGGAATTTAACTGGAATCATTGCGTTCATTGGCACGCTGTGCCACATTTCGCGCCTATGCCTGGCGGAAATTGTTGAGAAACGACTCCTGGCTCACAAACAATTTTAAAGGCGTAAAATTACTCTTTTTTTTGTTCTCAAATAAAACTTAGGCAATGTCCATCGTGTGTCAGTATGGTTACACATTTGAAGTTGTTGCGTTTCACTGTTTAAGTCCCAGATCTCCGTTAAAAAAAACCCCACTTCATCACGTCTCGATCGACTAATTTCTGAATATGAAGTTTAAATGTCCAATTGTCTCTTTTTTTCAATGAAACTGTCTGGCAGACCATTTTTTTACCGCTGTTTCACACCATTAACGGCTGTGGTTATCCTGGGGTCCATGCTGCTAGAGCCAGGTTATCCAATTATTTAAGTAATCTATGGCTCTAGCGATTATCACTTTGATTACTCGACTAATATGATAAATATGAAACTGTCGTTGGGAAAAAAAAGTCTCGCCTCTGTTCCCCCTTGTGCCACTGGACGGGAGATGACAGACGGGGCTAGTTGAAATCAATGGGATCATCAGCTGTGCCACGCTGGGTTTCCTGTCTTCAAGGGGCAGGATGTCAGTGTGGTTGCCATTTTAAAAGGGGTCCAAGTAATCGACTGAAAAAAAAGTAGCCGATGACAATGTTCATCGCTTAATCGATGAAAGCGATCATCCCAGCGTTGCATATTGCCACCTGCTGGAGGAGCAGCTCTCGTCGCAACTTATAGGTCAAGATAAGTAGCTAGAAAATGTTTTCGGTTGATGTGGGGTGGATTGCTTCATTTCCTCCGTAGAATGTTGATCACTACTGTGTGGTCGATGGTCTGATGTTTCTGCAATCGGACACGTTTTAAATTTCCCACGTGATAGGGCTGTAGGCGGATCTGCTGACATTGCTGATTTGCAATGTGGGCCATTGCCTGGAGGCATTGTAAAGGCCGGACAGCCGCTGCTCAGGCTCAGTAAATTGCACACGCTTCATTGCACCTGCGTCAATATTTAATGAGCACGTGTGCTTGGCCATTTCGCCAGGAAACGATTGCTTCGGTGCACTTTGCGTCTAATACCTAGTTTTTGTGGGAGTGCCAATTCAAGTCAGCCTGAGTTCTCCCATAATCCGAGTTCAAGGACCACTATCATTAGTAAAAATGTGATATCGACATTAATTGGAAGAGTTACTTTGCAGGTCTTTCCCAAAAAAATTCCAAGAACGACTTTCCCAGAAATACTTGAGAGTAAAATACCAAACCTGTGTTGCAGAGAAAGCGAAATATTACTTATAATAGTGTTACCTACAACATTTTCGCTAACACATTTGGTGATGTATTTCCCCCTCGGCTAGAATTATGATGGAGGAAAATCAAGCAAACCCGTCAAGAAAATTTGGCTGCAACCCAAATTCAGAAACCAACTCGAGTTTAAAAAAATTAACCCATAAAAACAAAGTTTTTCACTATAAATTCTTTATATGCGTGGCGGCTAGAGTCCTCTCGTCCTCTGGCTTGAGATGGCTGCCACCTATGGGTCAGATGATTGTCTGCCACCATTAAGCAATTGGTAAATAAATATTTTAAAAAATTTCCCTAAACAGTGTAAAATTTTGGAAAAAAAATTTCACGAAAATTAATTGTCACGCACAACGAGTCTGTGTGCAAAATGTCAGCTCGATTGGATCACGGGAAGTGGGTTAAAAAACGACCGAAAGATTTGCACGGTCGTAAGCAAGCAAGCACGCAAGCACGCAAGCAAGCAAGTGAACTTAATATAAAGGATTTAAAAATGCCAGAACCCACCGTCGGGGTGACATCTAGAGTTCTCATCATCAACTCTGTAAATGGCGCTAAATATCCATCGTAGGCTGGAAGATATTGTAAAAATCAACATAGGCTTTGTGCATATGCAAAAAAACCATCAGCATTTCCTGAACAATTGCATTATTGTCCCCTTGTCTTTGACCACCATTGCAGTTAACACTTTGCTCAAACAATTATTGTGATGGTGGCCTAAGACAAAAGGAACACAATCCACTTCAAGCAATGCTGATAGTTTTTGCAAAACACAAAGGCTGTGATCTCTAGTTCCGTCGCACAGAGTTTTAGAGCAGCACTTTTAGCCGGTGTTGTACGATGCTTAAAGCGCACACAAGCACACATATCTGCGACCTGATGTGTTTCAACAGCATCTTTAATAGATATGTGTAAAACGTTGACAGTGGAAACGGTAAAACGGTTACCAATTGTAATTTGGCCAAGCAAACGTGGTCCCTTTAAAATGACGTGTACGTTTGAAGGCTTGTTGGCAGAAAGTAAATAAATCAAACGAGCAAATCAAAGTGATGCAACACGCATGCAGGCAAGCCGTTTTCCCACAAGGACTCGAGTCAGGGTGCAGTCATCCCGCACGAAACGTCGAATTGTGTCCGTTAGCGCCAGGGCTTCATTTCAGACGGGAGAATATTTCCACGCCCGGCGCACCACATCCAGTATCCCTCTCGCTATGGGTTGTATCTGCTAGGCACGTGCCACGTACTCCAAACTACCGGCGACCTGGAAAATACTTCAGAAATGTACGCGCTGGTTAGCACTGCACTCACTTCATACTCAGATCGATACTCATATTTCGGCTCTCCCTGCATGCGGTCAGAAAACGTCGCAGCCGTTTTTCTTTGGAAACGTATTTCGTGCGAATACTACTCTACATGACACTACATCAAATAACAAACGTCATGCTCAGTACAATATATGTGCTGCTGCATGCATTAAACATGACTTAAAAAACTAACTCCGTCATTCCGTGGGATTAAGTACAACTTTAGCTTCGGAAGGATTATACAATATCAGCCTCCGATCCCATCTACTCGCACTCAGTGCGCTTTGCTCTCCGATGTGTGTTTCGAGTTGTATTCTGTGTCGATCGGCAGGATGTCTGATATTTCACTTCACGTGCTGGAAGCAACAGCAGCAGCAGCAACAACAAGGCGGAACAACCTGAAAAGCCATCGGAGAGCCATGCAGCACAACGCGAGAGAACCAAAGCAGTAGTATAACGTGCCCTTAAACACCAACAAGATATGTATAATATGCAAAGCATTAACACGATAACACTTGGTGTTTTTAAACAGCCCTGTCGGTGTCTCTGCTTTGCGATTGGTGCGTTGTCAACGGACTGTGTGCAGGAGCAGCACAGACATTATTCGCTCCGAGATTAGCAACGAATATTAAAACGCTTTATTAAAGAACAAGAATCAGGGCTTAATTTCAACTGGAGCTGTCTGGGCCCGAGCTCTGTAAAATGTCCCTGCCTCCCCCTGTCCGCTGTCAGGGATGGGAGGTGGGGTGGAGGGGGAGATCACAAGAATTGGGTGTTGCGGGGGGCCTCAGAAAATATCACATGAGAAATTAAACCCTGATAATCATTTAATCACTGTGTTTTATGCATGAGTGTTCAGAACATTACAAGAAATGCATAGCTTTATCCAATCCTACATATAAAAGCTACAGAATACGCAAAATTATTTCATTAAAAAAATCGTCGCATGGCGTAGAACACAACACCAAACTTAAGTGTCAGCGTTTGTTGTACGAGTTAAGGCCATCTACCCCCAGTGAATCTGAACCATCCAATCCACTCCTGTACTCACAAATTGTATAATGCCAGTTATAAATCCAGCATTGTCGAGTCTCAAGACTTTGTAACGAGGATCCTGCAGCCTTGGGACGTTTGGCTGCAACCTGTTTTGCACATCGGACAAATCTTGAGTACGAAGCGAAAAACTAACAAACCATGCATACGAGGGGGGGGGGGGGTGACATTCAAAGGCCTACATGGATGGGGTTACAAACCCATTTGCCGTACTGTCATTTCGTGGCCACTGCATCATAGGCCTAGCCAGTTTCATACATCTTTGCATGATCAACCAGCCCCTGATGTGTATACGTTACAGATAACCACAAGTTTGGAGATGCAAAACAAGCAATACCACCCCTTTTATGAAATCAATACAAGATCAAATGATGTGAGGATACAAAATAGAAATAAAAATTACTAAAAATGATCACATACACCGAGTTTCTGATAAGCAAGAGAAATCAACGTTTTATTAAAATCAAAATAACCTTTTTTATATCTTTGAGTTGCGTAAGTTTCTTCCTTTCCACTATAGAATTGACTCTTATGAAGGGTTTACTAGTGTTGGTGTACTTTGAATCGTTCGTTTTTTTTCCCACAGGTGCTTTCTGATTAGAGATGTCTGTTACTGGATCGAATCTGTGACATGTTCTGCAATTTACGCACCGTTTTCACAGCAACCTGATATGCGCTGCCTGTGATTGGATGGAATTCGTCACATTGAGATTATTTATGCTTCCTATTCACCATGCCCTACATGCGTTTATATTTAACAGAAATACCTTTTTATCCAGGTCATTAGGTACTATTTCTTGGAAGGGCATCTGAATACGCATTCTAACTATTTCCAAGTAATATTTTGTATAGAATATATAGTGCTTCATTATCATCAACCATTTTTAATCCACTGCTAAATTAAGGCCTGGTCGTCGTCATCTCTCATGATCATGCGGTACAGTAAATCACCCAGCGCCTGCACACGAGGTAATCTCATCGCTCCATCTGCCTCGGTGGACATCCTTTCGGACGCGTTCCATCTCATACGTGGGGGTGTGAGTGTGGGGAGGGAAGAAGGAAAAAAATTAAAACATTGGAAAGCCGACGAATGGCGATGCCGACGGCGCCCACCCCGCCGTGCCGTGAGAGAGCAGCGCTCGCGGCGTCCCAGCTCCTGGCGGCTGCACGAGCGGCTCAGGAGCTGCTCTTGAGCTCTTCCTCCGCCTGCTCCGCAGCGCAGTTCTCCTTGTTCACCGGGGCGAAGACCAAGAGGTCCGTGCTGCGGCGAGGCGGGAGAGGGGAAAAGGAGGAGCGAATGCTCACGCGTGCACGTACAACATCGACAGGCCCCGTCTCTAACGCCTCGCCGGGGGAAGCGGGTATTTGACCGCACTCCAGCGCACGTTGGTCAGAGCGGATTGGCGAGGGTGGGGAGCGCAGGCGGGAGAGTGAGAGGGATCGTACTATGATGGGGTTTGCGACACTGCTCTCGTTGATGTGGAGTGTCATACGTCATACCGGACATGCTCCCAGTTTTATTCCAGCACGTGAACTCAAGCCGTGCAGGTAGAACGTTCACCAACCTTCGTCAATAGCACGGACGAGCCCGTCTGCGTGGACCTCATCATTATCAATATAAAACTAAACTAAAACTACTTTCTATTTTTTCTCAGGTAAGGCTCACTGAGCTATATACAGATCTTTTCAGAAGCGACCTGGCCACAAATCATAGTTCAAAAAAGTGACTTATCATGTGCAAATTTATAGCAAACAAAAACTCTAAACGCGTGTTTCTGAATGTGGAGGGAAAAACAGGTGGACCCGGACAAAAATCAGCACAACCGTGGGGGGAGACACACGCAAACTCCAAATAAACAGGCGTCGGTTTCGGGATCGAACCCACGACCTCCTGCATACAAGGCGAGAGCGTTAACACCTCGCCACATTTTCTGAATGCATAACGTGCACAGTGTGCAGCTTGTCGTTAAAACTGGTTGTGACACTCACACTTTGTTGTGCTTGTCTTTGTCAGCCTGCTTCACTTTCATGTAGCACGTGATGAGCGTGAAGATGAGCAACACGGTGCTAGCGACGATCATGAAGTACATCATCACCTCCGACACCTTTGCCGTTATGTTCGTGAAGGCTGCGCACCAGCGAACAGGGAATAAAAAACACGGTCTCTCTCTTGTTGCTGTTGTTGTTTTCATTTCCCCCCCCCTGGTGTTATGCCAATTGCATATTGAATACTTAGAGCTGGAATTTAGCAAAATTAAGTGGAGAACCAAATTTAATGTGATGGGGGATTTCTGGTGCAGATAAGGCTCGTAAAGGAGATCCAAAATGAAGGAAATCTTACAATAAAGTTGTGTTGAAACGGGCCAAAGTGATCAAAGCGTTGGCCAACACTTAGAGATGAAAACAAGTGTAAAAAGGGCTGCGTTTATAAATATGCACATCTTGCCCTGACAGCTACCCCATCGCCTTCCGTAGTTCTCAGTCAAAACTTCTCAGAACAAACCCACGTTAGAAAGTGGAGCATGTGTGCGAATGTTTTCCCCTCTATTGTTTGAGTTTGTCAGCAGTATCAGAGTGATTTTTTGAGAGCCCCGCTTGGCCTAAAATAAAATAAAATCCTCAGCTGTTTACCCACCACCCATGCATGAAGCCCAATACTCAGAAGTTGCTCGCCTTGATTATTTCAATTCTGGTTTTTAAATGTGACATACGAATTGTAAAGGGACACCAAAGTCAAAAATGAGCTAAACTATTTAAATTTTCAGCACGTAACTGGCAGCAATACGCATAACGATGCTATGACTTTAATAACCAATGTATCTGCAGGTTTTATCTCTGAAGCATTGCATTGCAGCAATTATAAAATGCAATGTATTTTACTTAGGATCAATCATTAAAACATGTACAGGTTCTAAACTGCACCACGTTCGCACTGCTGCTCAACTGATTAAACCATCGTGTGCTTGCATCGCAGACCACGCGACATGGCAAGATGGTTCGCTCTTTCTTCACCACGGCTTGATAATCCACCACGTTGTTCCTATCCACACGGTCGCAAAGATTCTAATTCATTAAGTGTCTTCAAAATTGCTTCTATTTTTTGTGGAAACCATCAAAGTCCCATGCCTTGCGCTGCAGCCCCGCTAAAGCCCGAGGCCGTAATCCGGCCGCTGTGTGCAAAGACGTCGTGGTGAGTGGTGTGGCAGCTTCTCACGTTCAGGGACCACCTCGAGATGGATGGTCTTCGTCACAAGGAACTCAGGGGGGTTGCGGATGGAGGGAATTACGGGGACGCGGCGGATATGGCAACGGTAGGTCCCCTTGTCCGCTAATTTGGTGTCGTTGATCTCGAGGGACACCTCCTGTTAGTGGGGAGCATCATCGTTACCATCGTCGTCACTTAGTACGTACGCCTGCCACGCAGGCCAACTCGGGGCGCCCTGCTGTAGGGCACCCCCTTTGGCAGCTGTCACTATGCAGCACTGGGTGGTGAACGCAGCCCTGGCCAGCGAGTGGGCATTAGTTGGGCAGGACGAAGCCATAATTCTGCGTGGCTTCCCAATTAAAAATGAATGTGAAAAATTTGTATAAAAATTTAACACTTGGACTGTGACGCCAGCACAGATGGGCGACTATCTTTTGAATAACTTGACAGGATCTTTAAAGAAAATTGTGTATCTTGATGGTTAATATCCCTGCAAGATTAACCGTGGATTTCGCCGGGCTTACACCGCCAGCCTCTGAAATAATCACCAAACTCGCCGAGATATTATTATTATTCATGAGCCAGCCATAGGTTTTATTTTTTACCAATAATAATTTCTACTTTGTAACCCGCCGCAGAGTTTCCGCTCGCTCTCGAAGAGAGACAACGACTCGGAGATGCGAGCAGGAACCAAAGACGAGCGGGAAGGGTGAGTAGGTGGCACGCCAGCGCCAATCTTTCACCCCAAGCTCTGTCGTCCTCTATATACAATATTAAAGTTTTATCGGCCTTCAGTTTGTACATCACTGCACATTTTACCAACTACAACGCTTACAATGCACATACTCTCAGTTACACGTTAAATCGTGAAATAAACCATGAAAATGATGACATCGTACAAAACCCATGTGGACAATTACACCGAGAATTATTAAAAGCACTAATTTATTTTCAGCATTTATCTAGAACTTTAATCAGTGTTTATTATTTTGTAGATAGAAAATATTATTTAATACTGTTTTGTGTTGTATTATAGAACCGTCATTCGAGCAAATTCAATTTCATAATCGCTCAGGCACCACAACAGCTGGAAGGCAAGCCACCAGATGGTGAGCAGGGGCCGACAATTACCCGAGCTCTGCAATCCTCTACATCTTAAGATGTTTTCAGCCAATACGGGGGGACAACCCTTTATCCCATACAGAAGGGACAGATGGAAATTAGTCCACACTTTGCTGGACCTCCTCCTGGTGAGCCAAGGTATGCCTCCTCCTCAAGGCCTACAGAAACGGAGTTTCGCAACATTTGTGCGATCCAACAACCCTTACCTCCACAGTACTGGATTACAGGCATGCACCAACAACACCCGACATGATATGATATTGTTTACCTTACGGAGGTTATTATTATCACAGAACTTGTATCATACCTACCTGGTAGTCCTCGCTGTAGACGAACTGCATACGACTGCTGCCAAACTGCAGGTTCGTGAATTCAACGTCGTCGCCATTTCGTTTCATCACCAGGATCTGCACTCAGGTGGTGAGATGTTTTTTTCGCTTTGCTTTGTGTTTTTTGATGGTTATGAAAAACAGTGCTTTTTTGCCAAACAAAATGAAAAACGGTGCAGTGGTGAAGAAAAACACATGGTGGACACCGACAAAAGAAAACGTGACATTGAAAAGTGTGAAGAGAGGCGTAGAGTGGCGTGTGCTTGGAATTACAATGACAGACAAACATTGAAGGGGGCACCCAATGATGATATCAGGTAAGGCTGCCAATATCACAGTTTCTCATATATTTAACAACAACAAAAACACGTTTGTGTGCCCGTATTGAAACGGCTGTACGCCGTATGGATCTGAAGACTCAATTTCCCTGTACAACAATACGGGTGAAACGTATGGGTTGACAGGTATTCCTTTAACTAGAACGCTTTCTATCCACTGCTAGATGACGACCTCCCCAAGCAATCGCCATCACAAATGGGCCACATGCAACAGCTAAACTAAAATATTTTATTCACAAAATAGAGCCCACTGAGCTCTTAGCTCTTTTTACAGAAGTGACCTGGCTACAAATGATTGCTCACCTAAGTGGCTCATCACGTGGACATTTATAGCAGCCAAATAATCCGAATGTATGTTGATTCGAAAGGTGGAGGGAAAAATTGGATGACCCTTTGAAAAATCCATGTGACCCTGGGGAGAGACACACTCAAACCCCACACATACAACAGGCATCATCAGGGGTCGTAATAGAACCCACGACATCCTGCTATACCTGGCGCGGTAGCTAACAGCTTCGAGCCACCGTGGCGCAGCGTCGCCCGCGATGCCCGACGGCGATACGAGGGGCAAGGAGAGCGACGCGGGAAAGGAAAGACAGGAGAGCGAGGAGAGAGAGGGGAGTGAGGAGGCGTGGCTCACGTTGACGGCCGTCGTGTTCTCCCCGTCGGGCTGGAACGTCCACGTGACGTCCACAAAGGCGTCCTGCTCCTGCCGCTTGCGACACGAGATGCACGTCAGCTTGATCGTGTCGTTCTCCATCACCTTGTCGACGGAATCCACCTCCACGCACACGGCCTCCGCTGGGCTTGCTGCGTCAAGCAGAGACAAGAAAGAGGCCCCCCCCCCCAAATCCTCTTGTAGCTTACGCAGAATGCCGAGGGCGCGAGGGTCGTCAGCGAGAACCGACGAACACCGACACGGCACGCGAGGGGAATAGGTGGCCAACACCACGCCCGGCCGCTCTCGTCGCCCCAGTGCCGATGTTTACGCACTGCGGCAGGTACTCGTTTAAGGCCGAGTCGACCTAGGGGAGGCCCAGTACCGGTTAAAATATTCACAGCTGCTGTTGATTGTGAGCGATCATCATCGAACTCGGGTCGATTCCGATTGCTAATTTTCACAGATGCGGATAATCCCAGCAGCAGCTTTGTCGTATCACTGGCTTTTCCTATGGCCAATTTGGCAAATTATCTGGCGATTATAGAGTCAATGCCTCATCCTGCTCCTCCCACCACCCACGTTATCCCGCCCGTCCTGACACCGCTGTTGGATTTGTTAACGAAATGACCGACGGAAACAGTCAAAAATGTGCATTTATAGTCAACGATGACTATGAGCAGACGAATATCATCAAGCGCGACGGTGGCGATGACTGCCCGCCAGAGACCAAAGCGCGACTAAGACGAGATAGATTTGACGAGGATGCATGGAGACGCAGGTTTTCTAACTTAGTAACGCTAATAGAGACTGCAGTGCACTGAGGAAGACCTAAGTGATAACTGGCTAAAATAAACATTTAAATCAATGGGTTCACCGAGTTACCATAGTCCGCTCATAATCATCCCCCCCAGGGTGGATAAAATGAGTAACTCAGGTGTCATTACTCCTCCATCAAGGCCTCACTAAGTCTCAAAACTCTTTTTTAGGAGGTCCCTGATACACTGGGATCTTTGGTTAATTCCTTTTGAAATAAACATTGAGCACTTTGCTCCATGTGTACGGGAGGGAACCTACGTACCCGGAGAAGACCCACCGCACAGCTAGGCTCATGATCCCACTTGCTGTACTGTCATCTGGTGGACACCTCTCACCCCAGCATCCATCACATGTCATGGCGAGTATCCGTTCGCCTTCAGAAAATGTGTGACCGTCATTCCCACCATCTCCCACATCGCATCTCAACGGCAGCGGTGGCATGAACTGCCCCGGGCACATAATCATCAGCAGCGCCAGATACAGCATCAGTAACGTGAGCAGAATTAGTGGAAACCTATCCATCAACACCAGCAGTAGCATAATCAAAAGCATTATCAGTAGAAACAGCAACAACAGCAGCAGTAGCATCAGAAACATCAGCAGCCACCTCAAAATCAACAGCAGCAACAACAGCAAATGAAACAGCAGAAACAGAAACTGCAGGAGGAACAGCGTGGTGGGAAACAGCAGCAGAAGCAATATCAGAAAGGGCAGCAGCAGAGGCAGCGTTAGAATCAATGCGGTACAGTATCAGTATCAACAGAATCAACAACAACAACGCCAGCTTGGGCGGGAGCAGAAACATCACAAACATAACCACAAGCAAGCAGCATCGGGGAAGCGCATCAGAGACATCATCAGTGGCAGCTGCGCCCGCCTCGAATCTTCCACTGCAGAGACGCCCCAGTTCATCCCAGATCTCACACGACTCCTCTCTCTCTGTGTGTGTGATCACACGGCTCAGTATGTTGGAATAAGCATTCATCATCAACGACCTCGAACAACAACTGCAACTGCATCGTCAACAACAACAACACACATCTAGTTTAACACGTAGGCTTTCGCGACCAATATTATTCATAATCAACATTTTTGGGTTTCGATCGCGTTATTTATAAATGTACAATTTACAATTTGGGTACGACGTTTCGCTGGTAATTGCATCCAGCATCATCGGGCAATTCGCCAGAATGGTGAGGCTCTGCTGTGCTCTATATAAGAACGGGAGACACAGCAGAGCCTCACCATTCTGGCGAATTTCCCGATGATGCTGGATGCAATTACCAGCGAAACGTCGTACCCAAATTGTAAATTGTTGTGGTTTCACGCTGCAACACACCGGTGGGCTAAAGCAGTGAACTATTTGTCTTTTGTCAACGTGACACTTTTTTACTGATTGGCCGTGTCGGATGGTGGAGGGTTACGACACATTTATAAATAACGCGATCGAAACCCAAAAACGTTGATTATGAATAACACACATCTACAACGCACACACACACACAAAAGCCCCTGGGGCTGGCATGAAGGCAGCAGGAGCAGGCAGGCAAGGCGTGACCCTCCTTCTGCCCCGCGGCATAATGCAGCGTGACCCCTTCCTGCGCTAATGTCCCCGTGGCCTCCAACAATCTCCCTGCATCCCGAGCTGCCGCCGTAGCGCAGTCGGTGGTGCGAGTGTGACACATTGACACGTGGTGGTGGCGATTGGCCTCGTGTGTGTAACATGATGTCGTGATGAGAAGGTGGTGGTGGTGTGGTGGGAGATGTGCATTCGTGTTGTTATATTGGGGAGCGGTAGTGGAGTGGTGAACGCAATGCGCTTCGAACTCGACGGCCCCAGTTCGATTCCCGCTCACGACCGATATATGGACCGGTCATAAGCCTCCCCTAGGTAGACTCAGCCTTACAGCGAGTACTCGGTGTGGTTGTGTAAACATCAGCACTGGGGAGACAAACGCGGCCGGGAGTGCGGATGACCACCTCGTGTGCCTTGGCGACCTTCATAGAAGCTCACTAACAGCACTTGTCCCGACTTTCTGTTACAGAAATGGTCGTGTTTATGAAAACAGATAGACGATGATGATGGGAAATGTTATTATGATGATGAGAATGTTGATGGGATCTGTGATAATGCCCTGTGGTGATCGTGATATTTAAACGAAACGGGCTAATGATAATCATGACATCGATGCCTTAATAAAGAGTCATTCATGATTATGTTTTGTAAACTTGCATGATAATGATGCGGGCAACAACGTTGGTAATAATTATGATATTACGTAGAAAAGGATGACGTCACCGAGGGTATGACAATGACGATCATAAAATTAATGATTAATTTGGTGATGATAATATGAAAATGAATATTATCATTGGTTTAGTCGCGATGATGATGTTAACCATGGCGTGATGTAGGATGGTTCTCATTGGTTTGTTCATGATGAGGATAATGATGATGACAACGATGTGAAATTGGATGATGATGATGATATCAAAGAGAGTTCGATGCAGATCATGGAAAATAATCAGTGGTCTCAATGGGTTGGTCGTGATGATCATGACGTGATATGGGATGATGATCATTGGTTTTGTCCATGATGAAGATGATCATGACGACGATGTGACATGGGATGATGTCAAAGAGGGTGCTATGATGAGTATTAGCATTGGTTTGGTCGTGATGATGGTGATAATCATGACGTGATATGGGATGACGATTGTCATCATTGGATTGGTCATGAGGATGATATTGATGATGTGAAATGGGATGATGATGATGTCAAAGAGGGTGCTATGATGATGAAGACGATGATGAGCATTCGTTTTGTTCATGATGAGGATGATGTTGAGGTCAAAGAGGGTGCAATGATGATGATGATGTAGAACCCACACGTACCGGCTACAAGGCACAAGGCGAGAGCAACAATCACTCCTCCTCCTCCGCTGCAGCAAACGGCCATGGCGCTGGCGAGAATGAGCAGCAGCAGCAGGAGGCTGAATCCCGCACGAGCGCCTCGGTTCTAACACCTGCGCTAGGTGTGTGTACGTGTGTGTGTGTGTACGTGTGTGTGTGTTCAAGCCGAGCAGCACTTTGTCCCAATATCCTGTGTCGGAGGCTACACGGGGATGTGTCTGTATCGGTCTCCTGCTGCCTTCTCCTTTTCACAGCCACGCGTATTCGTGAGTGTCTGGTTGGGTCCTGATATTAAATCACGCGTGTCAATTGTGTGTGTGTGTGCTTGTCTGTGTGTGTGCTGTGGGATTGTGTGTGCTGTGGGTGCCGGGTACTGTATCCCCTTTAAAGGTGACGTGCGGCGAGAGAGAGCGAGATGATGATGGGTGTAGAAGGTGGGGTGGCAGCTGCAGCTGATGCTGCTGGATATGATGATGGGGGGTGTGGCTCCACCTGCGGTTTCTGCTGCCCAACGCTGCCGCAATAAAATATTCCGACGCAACGAATATTCGATGAATATCGATTTTTTTTCTTATTCCCAAAATGCCGTCAAAATTCTAGATTTGAAGCTTTCGTGACTGCAAGGATTCATATTCTTAGGTTTTTCGGTAAAGTCACGTAGGTAAAACATTAAAATTAATCAAAGTAAAATAAAATAAAAAATCACGACGTTTCGTCACAAAAGCTTCCGTCTTCAGGTGAAACCGTCACAGCCACGACAGCTGTATCAATACAGCTGTATCATCAATACTATACAGCTGTATTGATTGTACAGCTGTCGTGGCTGTGACGGTTTCACCTGAAGACGGAAGCTTGTGTTGCCTCCGAAACGTCGTGATTTTTATTTTATTTTTATTTTATTAATTTTAATGTTTTACCTACGTGACTTTGCCGTCAATATTATTCCTATTCTCCTCTCGCTCTGCCTCCCCACAACACTGTCACGACTGTTCCACCGGTTGTCTGCGTTGACTGTCACCAGACGAATGATCGCAAATTCGCAAGCAGAAGCGCCAACCATTCGTGTTGGGTAGCGGTCGTCAGCTGTCTTAGGGGCCGTCAATAAATGACGTCACGCGATTTTTGACGATTTTTTACCCCTTCCCCCCTCGTCATACGGCGTCACAAAAAGTCAGACCCCCCCCCCTAAAATATGACGTCACAAAGCTCTGCCCCCCCCCCCCCCTAAAATAAAACATGCGCTTTAAACTATTGTCATTGTAGTGCGTATTTAATGTGGCGCTGCACTCTGATGTTGTAGGAGAAAACATTTATTAAAAAGGATATTTAATTAAGTAGAACGTGTTGTCTATATTTATTTAAAGTTGCGCATTTTGATATGACGTCACATTTCTCAAATCTCCCCCCCCCCCCCTCGTCACACATCGTCACAAATGTCTGACCACCCCCCCCCCCCCCCGATCATGTAATGATAATGCCCCACTTTTGGAAGATTAATTATCTGGTGGGACTGCGTTGGCAATGCTGCAACCAAGTGAACTAAAATCAAGACACTCGTCGAATAACACTGTGAACTTAACAGACAAGGCATATCATTGATGTACGATGGAGAAGGCGCATTTCCCGAAACGTCGCGGAGGTGTTTTTTTTCTTTCTCTCTCTAGAGGGCGCTGCTACGAACGGCATCGCTGGCCAACTCCTGGCTGATCTGGAAATCGGACACCTGAGCCATGTAACCGCTAGAGGTCGCTACGTCAGCACAGTCGAGAAGAGACCTACACTATTGATTTCAATGCAGGTGCGGTAATGTTTTATTTTAGCGTGGAGACTGACTTTTTAAATTCTTTATATTAAGTTCGCTTGCTTGCGTGCTTGCTTGCTTGCTTACGACCGTGCAAACCTTTCGGTCGTTTTTTAACCCACTTCCCGTTATCCAATCGAGCTGACATTTTGCACACAGACTCGTTGTGCGAGACAATTAATGTTCGTGAAATTTTTTTTCCAAAATTTTACACTGTTTAGGGAAAACAAATTAAATATTTAATTACCAATTGTTTAATACTACAGACAATCATCTCAAGCCAGATGACGAGAGAACTCGAGCCGCCACGCATATAAAGGATTTAAAGTGAAAAACTTTGTTTTTACGGGTTATACTTATATATGCATTCGTTGGTTAGCCCGTAACCGCTGGGCAAGCTTGGCACAGTTGGCGTGCGTGTGTCAATGCGAGGAGCTATACCTGGATTTGATTTTGCACGGCTAACGTGGAAAATTAAATGCAGGTATCGCTCCTCAAAACCGGCTGCTTGCAGGGCCACCCCTCCTCCCCCTAAGTCGACTCAACCTTAAATGAGTATCCGGTGAGATGCGATGACATCGGCACATCAGCACCGGGGAGACATCGGTGGCCAGGCGGGGTTGATTCGCAGCTTCATTTGTCTGACGCATGGGGCCAGTTTCGACTTTCTGAGTCTCGTCAGCAGGTTTCTGGCCTGTTAAACAGCACGCCGTTGGGTTGGCAGATGGTCTTTGTTGTTGTTGTTGTGATAGGCGAGATCACATACCACCGCGAAAACACCGTCGTTGTTTGCCCGTGAGTCGTATCGCTGTTCAACATCGTAACGAAACATTGAGGCCGAAACTTTCTGGGTCGATGACTGAATCCATAAAAGCAACACCCGTCAACTCGCCAGCACCGCTCATTAGCGTTAATTGTCTGGTGGAAGTTATTAGCCCTTCTACACATCCCCAGGCACATGTGGACGTCACTGGCTCACACCCTCCAAGTTATGGGTGTTACAATTCCCCCCCCCCCCCCTCACGCCTCTCTATCTAAAACTTAAAATGTAACATTGCTATTATGTGATGTCTCGCACTGGCTATCTGTATAACACATCGGCTTTTGCGACCAATATCGTCCATGATATAGGTTTTGTTTGGGTTAGAACGTGTAAATATATCAATGTGTCGCTAAACCCGCCACCACCCGGCGCAGCAAATTAGTAAGGTTTGTCACGTAAACAGAACGTGGCCAATTCGTTACTAGTACAGCACACCGGTATGTGGGAGAGCAAATCCATAACATTTACAATTTGAGTACGAGTTTCATCATGAAGCTTGTATTAGTAACGAATTGGCATGTTCCGTTTACGTGACAAACCTTACTAATTGGCTGTGTCGGGTGGTGGCGGGTTTAACGACACATTTATATTTACACGATCTATCCCAAAAAACCCTCCCTATGAACTATATTTGAAGCTTTCGTGACTGCAGGCACTTTGGCTTTTTCGTGAAGATGATCCAATATGAACAAAACCTTCATATCAAGTTGTGTGTTTTTTTTTCTACGAGAGCTTCACACGATTGAAAACCGGGGGCCAATTGTGTAAAGAGTTGTTGCCCAAAAGCTTCCAGACGCAAGTCAGATATGAGAAAAATAAGATTACTGCAGTGTTTTTAAATATGCATGCATACTGTCAATACGTGCATGTTAAACTATAAACCAAACTATATTTACTCTTTGGTTCTTTCGGTAAAGTCACGTAGAAAGAAAATTAGTTAAATAATATGATACGACATTTCGATTGCAACACAAGCAGTCGTCATCAGGAAGAACTACATTTGAGAGTTTGAAAGAGAGAGACAAGACACAGAGACGGAGACACACAGACAGATACACAAGCAGGGAGAGAAAACACAGATACATACAGAGAGAGACACACAACATAGACATGCTTGTGTGTCTGTCTCTGTGTCTCTGTGTTTTGTCTCTCTCTCTCTCTCAAATTTAGTTCTTCCTGATGACGACTACTTGTGTTGCAATCGAAACGTCGCATTCTATTACTTAATTTATTTTATTGCTACGTGACTTTACCGAAAGAACCAAGAGTAATTCCTGCAGTCACGAAAGCTTCAAATCAAGTTGAAACTATATTTATTTTGCCAGGTAAGGCCAACTGAGCTATGCAGCTCTTTTTTTTCAGAAGCCACCTGGCCACAATTGATAGCTCAACGAAGTGGCTTATCGTGGACAACTTTATTACAGCCAAAAACTCAAAATTCGTGTTGACAAATATGGAGGGAAAAACCGGAGGACCTGGAGAAAAATCCACACGACCACGGGAAAAGTGACGCAAATAACTCAAAATATAGAGCATGCGTCAGAGTGGGGATCGAACCCGCGACCTCCGTGCATACCAGGCGAGGTAATTAACATCTCGCCACCGCGGCGGTGACGATCGGCCGTGTGATCATCGTTTGTCAATTTAAACTTCTCTCGTTGTTGTGTCCCTGAGAAAGTCGCTCACGCTCACACTTCACCAGCCCCATGGGTCCCCATTACGAGCCCATTCTCCACCTCGCATGGGTTTTTTCCACGCAGCCTCGCGAGTGAGATGGAGGCGATGGAGGGAGGGAGAGGGGGAGGGTGTTCTGTGGGTATTGAGACCCCCTGCTCTCCCCTCCACCCTCTGCCCGTCGTGACGCCGATTCTAACCCACTCACCACACCGCGACTCAAAACCCCGTGTCCCTCCAGCTAGACTTCGCATTGTTGGAGGGTTGGCGCGGATCGCGGCTGGTGCGTGGTCCACGCACCGTCGAGCTCAAGGACGATTTTGCTGAACCAGCTGAGTGCTCGAGAGAGCAGGGTAGGTAGAATCTGGTGCAGAAGAATGACCTGGGGGTCAGCCAAGTGACAAAAAAGCAATTCGCGCTCTCGCATTGTTTACAATTGTGGGTTTACTGCGGCACGATCAGCAGCATCAGCAGCAACCAGACTCATCAAACACGTATTCATCAACGCCAGCAGCAGTGCCAGAATCGGTATCAGCAGCAACAGCAGTCGCTAGAGAAGCAGAAACATCATCAGCAACAGTAGTATCAGAGGCATCTAATTAACTGGAGTGGTTGCAGAATCGTCATTATAATCATCATCAGCAGCAACATGAACATCGACAGCAGTAGGATCACAGGTATCTATTATCTTGAGCGGCAGCAAAATCAGCAACAGCTGCGACAGAAGCAGAAACATCATGAGCAGCGGTGGTAATGTCAAAAGCACGTATTCACTTCACCGGTAGAAGTCGCAGAATTGTCATCATCGTCATCATTATTATCATCACCAACAGCCGTAGTAGCAGAAGCAGCGGCATACAAAAACAGCGGTGGTGTCAGAAAAATTATCATCATCATTAGTAGCTGCGGGAAAAAACGTAACAAGCATCACAAACAGCAGAGGAAGAATAATAATAATAATCATCATGAGCAGAAGCAATTCCTCCGTTTCATCACCATCATCGCATTGACAGTTTATGCACTAAAGGAGCCACCACAATTAAAAATCTAGCTCACAAAACAGCCAATGCAGAAGAGTCTGCATTGATGGTCCTTAATTGTGGCGTTGATTACAATAGTGAATACCGCTGTGGTTATCAATCGTGATCTCATTTGCACGAATTCATTGTCACATATAGAAATTAACCAATCCACCAGTAGTGACACCAAACCTTGTCTTTTCGGTCACCAGCACCTGCCTACCGACGAGGTCACGAGGTCATCACGGCCGATGTCCCTGAACGCTACCACACTTCGCCATCGCGTCCTTCCTTCTGCCAGATCCGGCAACTGTTGTACAGTCCACACTCAACCTCCAAGGACCGCTCTCATATACTCATCGTTTACCACCACCGCCACCACCATCTGGCTTGAGACATTTCGCTTTTCAAACAGTCGACTCATCCTTCAAGGATAGCTCTTGTCATCTCAAGCATCATCAACACCGCCGCACGCAAATGCTCTTCCGTGACTCCAACGCGTCCACGTGCATCAGCACGGCGGAGATCCCTTACATCCCCTCGCCGTCGGAACTCGGGGACTCCTATTGTTCCCCTCTCCCCGAATTCACGGCGCCCGTCTTCTCCGTCCTCCTGCTCGTCGTGGGAGGCCTAGGTCTGCTCGCGAACCTGGTCGAGGTGACTCTAATGGCTTTGCAATACCAACATCAGCAGCAGAAGAAGAAGAAGAAGCACATGCCCATGACCTCGTCGCGCTCCCAAGCGTGCGTCTTCATGCTCAACCTGAGCGCCGCGGACTTCCTCGCGTCGATCTGCGCGACTCCGTGGGCCCTCTACGTGATCCACGGCTACGACTGGCGGCTGGGCGAGTTGGCATGCGGCCTGTCGCTGTCCCTGTTCAGCGCCAGCGTGTACGGCTCCACGTTATTCGTGCTTTTAATCTGCGTGGAGCGCTACCTGGCCACCGCGCACCCTCTGGACTTCGCGTCCCTCCGCTCGCGGCGAACATCCCTCGTGAGCTCGTTCCTCGGCTGGGTGCTCGTGTCGCTCCTCGTGGCCCACAACTTTTCCAACATCGTCCACCGCGGGCCCGATCCGGGCCGAGAAGGCGCCTCCTATTGCGGCCTCTCGTTGACCACGGACTTCTCGACGGCGAGGTCCTCCGTGGCGTTCTTCCTCTCGTTCGGCGCGACCACGGTGGCGCCGTTGGCCGTCATCATCCCGTGCTACGCGCGCGTGGTCGGCGTGGTGCTGCGCTCCGAACGCATGCGGCGCGACCGACGCGGCCGCGCGCGTGCCCTGCGCTTGGTGACCGCCGTGGTCACCACGTTCCTGCTCACGTTCGTGCCCTTGCAGATGTTCATGCTGGGCATGTACGTGGTCGCCTGGACGCGGCTGTCGTGCGCCGACCCGTGCCAAGCCGCGCGCGCCGTCAACGCCATCAACGAGACCGTGATGGTGCTGTCGGTGATGAACGCTTGCACGGACCCGTTTGTCTACTTCATGAATGAGACGGATCTTGCGGCCGTCTGGCTTCGAGGCGGTCGTGGCCCCAGTCTCCGTCGCCGCAGTGTTCGGTTAAGAAGGTTTCGGCTGTCCAGAGGTCTCGTGTGGGATAAGAGGGTGGCGGAGATGGTCGAGGGTGCAGGAGTGGTGGCGATTTCTTACGTTCGACGTGGTGGTGGTGATGGTGGTGATGATGGTGATGGTGGTGATGATGGCTGTGCATCTCACGTGATGGAAAGACCCTGGAATTAGCTGCGCCTTTACTTGTCAATAATATTGATAATCTTCTTGGTTCTTTCGGTAAAGTTACGTAGAAGGGAAATAATAAAATAATACAAATACAACATAATAAAATAATTCTCACGACGTTTCGGCCACAACGCAAGCTGCCGTCCTCAGGTGAAGAATGACGCTTGGAGCGTATATTTAAGCTGGGTTTTATTATTTCCCATCTACGTGACTTTACCGAAAGAACCAAGAAGATGGATCCCTGCAGTCACGAAAGCTTTAAATCGAAATTTAATATTGATAATGTCCTTGCTTGTGCCCTTTGTCAATCCACTTTCTATGTGAGGGTCTCTCCACGAGCCGCACTGGTTTCAGAATCCGTAGCCACCACCACACTCGAACGATCGTATGCGGGTGTATGCGTTTGTACATATTTACGCCACGCAATTGCTGGACGATGAGTGCCTTGTTACGCTGTGTCGGTCCATGGGGGGTTCATTTACCATGACCTCGCCCAGTGCGGGTTGGTGAAAGCGGGGGGCATAAACGTTGGAAACATAGAAGTATGTTAAAGCCATGGATATTCGTTGGGTCTTTCGGTAAATTCACGTAGATAGGTTCAAAGAAAATAACAAAAAACTACGACGTTTCGATCGCAACACAAGCGTTCGTCTTTTTCTTCCTGACGACGAATGCTTGTGTTGCGATCGAAACGTCGTAGTTTTTTATTCGAATTTTTTGTTATTTTCTTTGAACCTATCTACGTGACTTTACCGAAAGACCCACATAATATGAATTCCTGCAGTCACGAAAGTTTTAAGTCAAGATAAAGCCATGGATGTTGTTTCACTGCCACCTATTTGTGTGTGGTCACCCATCGAAAAGCGCTGTCCAGGCAAAATTCCCTGCTTGACTTACGAGCTCTGACTAATAAATAACAATTCCACTTATTTACCCAGGAAAGAGGCTCAATATCTCAATATTGCCTTTCAAGAATGCCCTGCTGCTACCTTAAGATTAGGGTTTGAACGTTATTGTTTATTCTGTGCTTATAAAAATATATTTAAACTCTGTGATATTTCGGGCAAAGGTCCTTTATTATAGCACGTAAATAGAACAGCGGACCCATACGGCTTAAAACCAAAAAGAAATGAAGACGGTCGCTGGGAAAAAGTGGAAGGAAAGTGTTCATTTGGGCTCCGTCGCAAGCACGTGGCTCACAGCAAGAATGGCGAGGAGAAGGAGCGGTGGGTGAGAACGAATCGTCCGACCTGCGACTGTTGGAGCGAGTAGAGAGACTCGTTCATAATCAACGTTTTTGGGTTTTGATCGCGTTATTTATAAATGTGTCGTAACCCTCCACCACCCGACACGGCCAATCAGCAAAAAAGTGTCACGTTGACAAAAGACAAATTAGTTCACTGCTTTAGCCCACCGGTGTGTTGAAGCGTGAAACCACAACATTTACAATTTTTGAGTACGACGTTTCGCTGGTAATTGCATCCAGCATCATCGGGCAATTCGTTAAACTGAGAGAGACTCGGTTTAGCACGGCGGTTTTTCGCGACCGATATCATCCATAATACAGGGGGGGGGTTTGGGGGGGGGTTAGATCGCGTAAATCTGAGAGCCTCGACTATCGAGTCTCAGTGCAGGAGGGTCGTGCAGTGTTGGGAGAGTCAGATGTCGGATCCTGTTCCCCGTCGTCGTATCTCGTGTGAATTGGAAGCTCCGTTGAGCAAGGCGATGACAGCGGTGGTTGCTGCACACACACACACACTCTCTTGAATTGTTAGTACCATTCGTAGTAATGATGTATAGTGAGAGAGAATATACAGACTATGAAAAATAAGAATAGATTTTACCATTTCTGGTAATCAAACAGGTGTTAAGATGTTTAATCATTCAAACGCCAAATAGAAACCGAAGAGGTTTAGATTTGATGTTTGCACATCTTAACACCCGTTCTATTGCCAGAAAGGGTAAAACATATTTTTATTTTTTCATGCTTTGTTACTGGCAAAAAAATGTCCCAGAATATACAGAGTTGTGCTGTATACAAATGTAGGGTCGTGTGTTCTGTTTATGTGCTTGAATTATTTGGGTCGGATCTGCCGAAAGCAACGTCCTTTCCTGCATCTGCAAACCTTGGTCCGCGCCTGTTAGCATACGCGTCTGCACTGCCTCGCTTGTACTGCCTCGTGTGTACTGCCTCATGTGTACTGCCTTGATCACCGCTGTTTAGTACAGCAAGTCATTGATGATGCACATCCAACGTAAACGCATTGCCCCGATTGATGTGTTTTTTTTTAAATCGTTAGATGCAGCTTACCAGGATATACACGGTACGGATCGCGTTGTCACGATACGTTACGATATCAAATTCCACGATAAGGCCATCATCGCGAGATCAGTGTCCCGTAGCTTTGTCGCTGTATCTAGATTGTTATTGTATTGGTTGTGTGCCGTTTCTGTAGAATAATTACAGTTGGAATAAAAAAAATTGCTCGTAAATTGTATTTAAACTGCAGTCCACTCAACGTAAGCCCGCAATAGGAATTATTATAAACATTGCATCTTTACAATCTGTAGAATGACTGTAACGCACTTGCTGTCATATAAACAGTAATTGTGTCTTAATTAAAAGTGCGACAAAGATTATAATGATGCCGCTGCAATATATCACCACCAAGACATGGGTTACTCTTGCCCTGGAAATAGAAAGTGAGTTAAAGCACTTATTGAATGAGTATTATAGCAGCTATTTGTTTACACACGTAACTTAATGTCAAATTATGCAAATCGCGGAGAGAGAAAATCCATCTTCATAGCAGAAAACCATACGTTTCAAACAACACGTGGTCACTCAGCCATTGGGCATTATGGACAAAGTGTTGATTTTGACTTAATACTTTCGTGACTGCAGGAATTCATATAGGTAAAAAATAAAGAAATAATAAAAGCAAAAACCCCACGACGTTTCGATCGCAACCAAGAATACGAAATGTTCATGTTTATTTTTTTCACAATGCACAACGGCTGAGTGCTTTTTACGCGTTTCCATTACCCTGCTTGTTAGTTCACAAATGTTTAGTCAGAACAACAACAAAAAACGCACACACTTAAAAATAACTAAACGAACCATAATCACGATACAACGATGTCTTCCCCCCCCTCAAATAAATCACATCCAGTATCGCCATATCATGCGGTGTATCGTGCGATCGTGATATCGTGATATCGCGATATCGCCATCTCGCGGTGACCCCTTGCGATGTCAGTCGACCCCGTGCTGGACTCAAGCGGAATCCAAACATTGCGCTAACCACTGCGCCACCGCTCCCATACATACAAAGACAAAGATCCCCCGTATAGCCTTTAACATTCTGTTGGGGCAAGTGCTGTTAGCGAGCAGGACCTATGAAGGGCGGCACGGCACACGAGGAGGTAGGTGGCCAACACCACGCCCGGCCGCCTTTGTCTCCCGATTGGCGATGTTTACACACCGCACCAGGTACTCATTTTGAGGCTGAGTCGACTTAGGGGAGGTCAATGGCCGGTTCAGATAATCGTGACTGATGTTGGCCGTGAACAGGAATTCAACTTGGGTCGCTGGGTTTGTAGCGCAGCGCACTAACCGCTACACTAGCGCTCCCACAAACACACACGCACACGCTGTCACATACAATAATGTAGAACCCCTCTCAATTCACTGCTGGATGAATGCATCCCAACGCCGTGTCGGTGACGAGGGTTGTTGTTGTTGTTGTTTTTACTCACCGTACTTTGAGTTTATTACAAAGTGGAGCAGAGTGAGTTGAAGAAGCGGACAGAGAAGTGTTGTGATCTGCAGTGTGCGGTGCAGAGACACCGATCCAGAGTCTCGCTTGTGACGAATCAATGCTGCTGGAATGATGCACTCCCTAGACAGCCGTGAGGACCGACGGCTTGTGTAAGAAATACTCTTTAATGTGGAGAGACATATAAAGGAGACGTACTAGTATTGGACTAGTAGTATCCACTGCTTCTTCTTGGTTCTTTCGGTAAAGTCACGTAGAAGGGAAGTAATAACATAATAGAAATACAACATAATAAAATAATTCTCACGACGTTTCGGCCACAACGCAAGCAGCCGTCCTCAGGTGAGGACGGCTGCTTGAATCCCTGCAGTCACGAAAGCTTTAAATCGAAATTTATCCACTGCTTGTTCATCAAATATGGGCTTGATAGACAAGGATGGGCGGGACGGTGGTACTTAGAACCGGTGCACAAGGTGACCGTGGCCTGGAATCGTAATCAAGGCGCCGGGGTTTGGAGTGTAGTGCGCTAACCACTGCACCACCGCTCCATATACGCACCCCATGAACTACAGTCTACACATACGGTGGATGTATAAACGAGGGTGCCATTAGTTTCCATCATCACAAAACCACGCCGAGTGCGCAATTTAAATAAAACGGGAGGATGAGAGTAAATTACATTAATACAAAAATAAATAAAGATTTAATCATTTCATGGAGGCACGGATATTTCCCACCACTGGCTCGTTTAAGTAGACATTTTAATTTATTTTTTAAAAGTATAAATAGAAGAAAAATTATACGAGATTATTTTTTAGCAACGGTCTGTTCCATTAGTGGAATGAATGTGGCATCTTAATCTGTCGTAAACCACCCATAGCGCCCTGTACTTAGTACGGTGTGGAAATAATAAGCGTCAGCACTGGGAAGACAAAGGCGGCCAGGCGTGGTGGCGTTTCCCTGGGCTCGACGAGATGATCTTTAGTTTTCGCCAGCATGGATGTATTATCCAGAGAGAGCGGAGGCGCAGTGGTGTAGACAGCGCGCTACAATCCTGGAAACATGAGTTCGACTCGGGACCACGGCTCACCTCACTGGGAGTTGTAAGGGGGGGCGGGAGGAGGGGGGTGCTTATATATCTGAACCGGTCCACCCTGCCCACCCCTCTCCCCCACGCGCAGTGGTGAAGTATGGTCAAACAACCCCCAATTCGCCGAGAAGGGGGTCGGACAGGCCTTCATCCAGCAGCGGGTTTGACATCAAAAACAAGAAAGATGAGACGTCCGTGTGGAATTGTTTTCTGTAGTCGTCAGTCCACCCCCGACAACGAACGGCGCTGGCGCATTCCGACTGAATGAATGCCCGAGCATGGCTGGGTGATGAAAGCGTGCGGAGGCCGTGTCCGTGGTAACGGAGTGAACCATGCCGATGAGGAGGATGAAGAGGGGGTTTGGGTAATGCGAGGACGAGTCGAGGGGGTCGGGGAGTGAAGAGTGGATGGATGGATGGGGTCGTCGAATTAGAGAGCGCAATACAGGCCAGCAACAGTGCTGTGCGTGTTTCTCGCACAGCACAAATACCCACACACACACTAACTAACACACTAACTAACACACTAGCTAACACACTAGCTAACACACACACTAGCTAACACACTAACTAACACACTAGCTAACACACACACTAGCTAACACACTAACTAACACACTAACTAACACACTAGCTAACACACACACTAACTAACACACTAACTAACACACTAACTAACACACTAGCTAACACACTAACTAACACACTAACTAACAAACACACTAACTAACACACTAACTAACAAACACACTAACTAACACACTAACACACTAACTAACACACTAACTAACACACACACTAACACACTAACTAACACACTAACTAACACACTAACACACACACTAACTAACAAACTAACTAACACACACACTAACTAACACACTAACTAACACACTAACTAACACACTAACTAACACACTAACACACACACTAACACACTAACACACACACTAACTAACACACTAACACACACACTAACACACTAACTAACACACACACTAACTAACACACACACTAACTAACACACTAACTAACACACTAACACACAAACTAACACACACACTAACTAACACACTAACTAACACACTAACTAACACACACACTCTAACTAACCCTCCTCTTGTAGCACGCGACCGTAATTCGTCCACCCGCGTTGCTGTGGGCGAATGAAGTCGACCAGATCAGACTCCTCGAGACGTCCGGAGTCACCGCCGATTCATCTCCTTCACAGGTGCCGACAGCCACCACCACCACTCGTAGCTCGCAACTCTTTATCCTCCATGATACAGGAGAGAGGGGGGGGTAGATCGCGTAAATATATAAATGTGTCGTTAAACCCGCCACCACCCGACATAGCCAACTAGTAAGATTTGTCACGTAAAGAGAACGTGGCCAATTCGTCAC